ATAGCTGTCCATACCTTCCCGTATGTTGAAATTAAACAAAACAAAACAGACTAAAATCACTCTGATCAAAGAATAGTAGTACTGCTGGATTTCACATTATGACGCTACGGAATCAGCACTGGGTATTATAGTGTCTTTTTTTCTTCAAAGTAGTTCATTTCATCATGTGTTACGTAATCAGCTCTCATAAACTATTTATAGGTTCTACACATGCACGAGTCTCTACATGTATTTCTATCCTTTCTGTATTAGAGGGAAAAACAAAACAAACCAAGATAAAACAAAACAAATTCCTATAAAAACATGAAACGAAAAAATCATATAAAACCACAGTACAAGGTGGTCTATAATGGTTACTGTGTTGTCTTTTGTTATCTTCAATAGAATTGTCTATATCTTCAGGCATAGTATAATTAAATATAGCAGTCCATAACAGTATTAATAAAGACAAAACATTGTAGACTGTAAAACTACAAAAGCAGTAATAAGCCAGAGTGGGTATCCTAGAGAATCTTGTCATCTTCAGTATAGTTTCCTGTCCTCTCAGACTTGAGACTATCAATCATAACAGATTCAAACAAAATCCATGAATACAAAACAGCAGTGTAACAAACCAGATTAAAATAAGATCAGTCATGATAAAACAGTATAAGTTATACAGGGCTTCAGATTAAGTTAATAGGAAATTAAGGATGTTTACTGTACTATATCCTGCTATTTTGGGGATAGCTGTCTGTGTCCTCAAATCTAGTATAAGTAGACAAACTGGAACAGGATATAATCCATCTAAACAGAGGAGTGTGAGTAATGTGGGTTTTAAGTCCTGATACACTATTAACAATATCCTCTGCCTTCTTTTTTTAGACTATTCCTCCCCTCTCACTCCCACAGGGTGTACTGCACATTTTGGGTCCCACCAACTCCCTCAGTTTTTAGATTGGGGGGAGGCAACCTGCTATTTACCTAAGTGGTTCTGAACCTTCTCACTCCTGGTCTTGATCTCAAGTTGTATTCCTTTACCTACAAAAGCCTCAAGGTTTTCCTTCGTTATAGCTGAGTATTTCTCTATTGCACATAAATATCCTGTCTTTCCACCTTACCTGCAGGTGCTGGTCGAGTTGCCCCTATTTCTCTCTAGTTCCTTGTCACATAGAGCATTGTTTTCTCATACTTGATTTTCAGTCCATAAATCCTTTTTCAGGGTAATTATATTTCTTATACAGAGCATCTCGGTGGACCCTACCTCCTGATCTACTCTGCCTGTGTTTCTTCTTCTTCTTCTTCTTTTTTTTGTGTGTGTATCAAGGCCATCTATGTTAGAGATTATAGCCAACCTTCTCTGCCTCCTTTCTGCTATGCTATTTTTCTGCCATTGGTTGTGTACTTTTCTCCTTCATTCCACTGTGTCTGCCCCATTCATTGAAGCCTCTCTGCCACTATTTCTGAAATCCTGGTATTTTTTCCCTCTCTCTAGAATGTCCTTCAGTATTCTCTGTAGGGGTTGGATTGGTGGTCACGAATTCCCCCAATTCCTCTTTGTCATGGAAGTATCTGGTTTCTCCTTTAATTTGTAAAGACAATTTTTCAGGGTACATCAATCTGGGCTGGGGGTTATTTTCTTTCAGTGCTTGGAATACTTCACTTGAAGCTCTTTTTGATTTGATGGTCTGTGTCGAGAAGTCTGCCATGATTTTGATGGGTTTTCCTTTATAGATGATCTGTTTCTTTGCTCTGATGGCTTTTGATATTCTGTTCTTGTGATGAATTTCTGGGATCTTGATTATTATATGTCTGGGTGTAGCTCTATTTTGGTTGTAGATGGCTGAAGTTCTATATGCCTCATACATCTGAATATCATTTCTTTTTCCTATGCTTGGGAAGTTTTCCTTAATTATTTCTGTGAATAGCCTTTGTATTTCCTTTATTTTTACCCCTGCTTCTTCATTCACATTTTTTATTATTCTTAAGTTATAGATCCTCTTGTCATCTTCTAGCCTTTATACTGTTACTTCCTGGTTTCTTATTATTTTTAAGAGATCTTTCCCTTCATCATCACACATTGCAAATCTTTCTTGGAATTTTGAAAGTCTATCCTTAGTTTCTTTCAAGCAGTTTTGCCAGGTTTCAATGAGTTTTTAATTTCTTGGTAATCTCTTTGAATTTGCTTCATGTTTTCTAGGTTTTCTTTATATTCTCCATCGAACGTTTCTCTCCTTTTTTTGTGTTCTTCCATTCTTCTGTCTGTGTCTTCTTGAGAGGTGCTTTGCATTTCTTTTATTAATCTTCTTATATCTTGCCTTACTTGAATTAATATTTCAGTTTCGAGCTCATCTAAGGTTGTGAAGATATCTCCTTATGTCTGCTGATACCGTGTCTGATATTGCATGTTTGCTGCCCTCAAACTCCTCTGTATTTATCTCTCCTGGATCAATAATCAAAAGGTTGGGGACTGGGGGCTTTTTCTTATTTGCTTCTCTTGTCATGTTTTTGGTTTCTTTCTTACAGATGTATAGTGGAGTTCCCAGCCCCTTTCCTTGTTGGTTATGGTTCTTCTGAAGTGTGCTGGCTAGGGAATTTTGTCCTCTCCATTTTGCTGTTGGTCATTGAGGTACAAGCAGGGACGGCATATGCTGGCCCTTCCCCTCTGAACCAGTCAACCTGTGGGGCCTTCACCAGGTTAGTGTGTGCCATGCATGGGATTGGTTTGGGATGACTTACTGGGTCCCAGCCAGGGGCATGACCCAGGCCAAGCGTTCCCACCAGTCTGCTCTGGGTAGGGAGAAATCGACTGAAGTCAATGCTGTTACTTGTTCATGCTGCCGGATTCCAACATGTCTTCCAGTTGCCTGCCCTTTTCCATGGGAGGGTTGTATTTCCAAGCATTCACCACAGGTTAGTGCAGGTTCCTCACCGTCTCCATTCTGCGTTGGGCTCACTGACCCCAACTTCAGCACGACTGCAGCTCTGGTGAGTCATGATGGCGCAAGTTTGGGTGGCTTTGGTGAGAGCACTGTGGCCACTAATCTTAGCTGCTCCAATGGTAACCCTGGGACTGCGTGATTGACCAACTTTTTTCCCTTTAGTTTCTTCCTGGGTCGAGAGGATCCATCTCACTCTGTCCAGGCCTCTCCAGGATTTTTTATTCCGGCATCTGAGTCTCTCTCAGGGAAGCTGTGTATCCTGCTGCTTACTGATCTGCCATCTTTAGCCAATTACAGATAAATTAAAACATCTGAAACAACTAGGAGAGTTTGGCACCAGTATGTACAAGAAAAGAATAAAATTCCAAAGAATGCACTTTAAATAGAAAATTATCACAAAAGGTCAGTATTGTATTGTAAGAAATAAAAAACGAGGGGCTGAGGATTTAGCTCAGCAGCATAAGCGCCTGCCTTGCCAGCAGGCAGTCGTAAGTTCGATCCCTGGTACCGATAAAAAGGAAAAAGACAAAAAAAAAAAAAAAAGAATAAAGATGTAATTAAAAAATACATCACATAAAAACTAACCAAAAGAAGGCTGAGTGGTTTTTTGATATAAGGTGGGACTTTAAGATTAAAAAGTGACCCAGGGAATTGTTAGGTTTGGCATATAGTGAAACCTCAAAAGGAACATACAGGACAATGTTCAGAGCATTTTGGTTTTTTTTTTTTGTCTTTTTCCTTTTTATCGGTACCAGGGATCAGACTCACGACTGCCTGCTTGCAAGGCAGGAGCTTATGCCGCTGAGCTAAATCCCCAGCCCCGAGCATTTTGTTTTTGATAAGCAGACACTGGAGGCAGTGTAAAGTAAATTTTAAAACTTAAGCCTGATATTAAAAGATGGGGAAGACAGGCCTATCTTGTCATGTAGTTAGTGCTAGATTCAGCAGGCTTTGGCATCCCCCATGCTGGCTGTAACTTGTAAGATAAACAGAACTCTTAGCCAGAAAGTACATCTTGTTGTTTAGCTTGTTTCAAAGACTTATCATTTAGAGACAGAATGGCTCAGTCTAAGACAGTGATTGATTCTTCCTGCTCATCCAAGCCCTTGACTTTCCTGCTATGATAAGAAAACCCCCAACTGACTAGCCCAGAATAAATCTGCCTAACACCATATGACAAGACAATGTATAGCCAACTATAGAATGTCCTGTTGTCAGTCTTTCATATTTCCTGTATAAATAGGCTGTTTAACCCCAAAGTGAGACTGGTAATTTGGAACTAAGTTTTCCCCTAGCCCACTGATGTTAATAAAGCTGTTACCTGCCAAGTGCCCTGGCGCTGCATGTCTTCTATGTGATATGGTCCTGACTTTCCCAATGACAGGACTGGGTTGGTTAGTGCTCTGGTGTGCAGTGAAGTGTGTGCATCAGAGATGAGTGAATTATGCCTGTGAGCAGCCTCGTGGACATATGTTACAGAAGCAGCATCAAGTCAAATGGCTAAGACCTGAAAGAGGGTATGCTTGAGATTCCATCAAAGGAAAACTAAACCCTGTGTTATAGGGATGCATGCAGGATTCTGCAGGCGAGGTGAAGAAGAGCAAGGATATCATGTAACAGTGTAGGTAGAAAGGAACCTGGGAGCAGAGCCTTTCAAGGACTGGTAGGGTTTTGTTTCTAGTGGTAATACCATGAATATTTGTTTTGTAGGCATCAATATTAATGTTTTGTGGCCATCAACTTCTGTTTTCTGCACTTTTTTTTTTTTCATTGTTAGAGACAGGGCCACATTGTGTTTCACAGTCTGGCCTAAAATTCCTGGGCTCAGGCACTTTTCCTGCATCCCCGGACTATAAGCCTATGCCACTGCCCAGCTATTTTTTTCAGATTGTGCTGCAGGATCTGCTTTAAAAAATATTTATTTGGTGGTGAGATTATGGTTCCTTTTTACCTTTCTTATTCTTCTGTTGCAAAGACTTAAGTACATATTTGGTCTCCTCTTCTGAGAGGAGACCAGAGGTGTGGGTAAGTATGGCTCTGCTGGCGGTCACAGCATCCCCTCTGCTTCACCCTGTGCAGGTCACCTTTGAGGAGTTCAAGGAAGGGCTCGTGACCGTGCTGTCCTCCAAGGCCAATGGCGACCTTGGCAGTAAAGAAGCTGGTTCTTCGCAGGCAGGTGAGAGGAAGGTCTCTGTTAAGCTTAGTGTCTCTGCCATGCTTCCCACCTTTTGGAGTAAAATCTGCAGTTCTAAAAAGTGAGTTCCTGCCATGCTTTTCTGTCACTGTGGGCTGTGTGGACTTCCTACCTTCATCTCCTCTCTGTAAGCCGTGTCTTAGGGTGACATGCAGCTTAGCAGGGGGTGTGGCTGTGCCTGCCACAGATATACATGGTGAGTTCCTCTGCAGTGCAGGCAGCTGGTCTCCCACCCATGATCTCTGACATCTGTTTACTGCTGTACAGCCAGCTGGAATCTGTTACGAGGAGGTGGACCAAAGATGCACTGGTCCCTGCCTGTGCCAGAGGGCACTGGGCTCAGTGGGGGCGTGGGAAGGTCTGTTCCTGGTGCTGGTCCCAGGTGCCCCACACTCTGTTACATGGTCAGTGTGTGAGAGATGGTAGTGCTGCCCCTGGGGCCCTGTCAGATCAGGACCAGCTGAAGGTGGGTTACAGGGTTAGCCATGGGCCAGTCAGGGTGGGGCCAGTGGATCAGCCCCATTGAAGGTTGGCTCAGTCCCAGCTGTTGGCCAGCACTGCTGGGAGGAGGGCTGGGGCTAAGGACTGACACCAAGTGTCGAGTTGTCTATGGCTGTGGCTCTCTGATTTATGCAGATTCTCGAAGTCCTCACCCTCCACATTCGGTGTGACGCCTGAGGTGCAGGGGAAGGGTTTGTCTAGACCCCAGTGAGTGAGTGGTGGGAGGTTCAAACCTATTTCCAGTCTAAAATCTCTGAGCCCTGTGCACAGCTGTCCTGGGCGTGTTGGTGGCTCTTCCCTACCTTTTTCCTGGTGCTAAGGACCTGGGATTAGGGACCAGCCTTATGCACACCATTCTTGGGGTGTCCTGAATTACACCTTTTGTTGCAAAGTACATGGCAGCGCTTGTCCCCTCACTCATAGTAGTGTGGATGGACTCCATCACCAAGGTGGCTGGGAAGCGGGAGGGATGAGCGTGCTTTGCTGCGCCTGGGATGCCATAGCTGACCACACTACGTGCACCTGTCTTTGACATCTCCAGCTGTGCAGAGCCTGCTCAGCTCCTCTAAAGATGAGATCTCAGTTCAGACCTGTGTGTTTCTCATGGCCCCGCTGTGTCTTGTTTTGTCTTTTTTTTTTTTTTTTCCTTTTCCCTTTGTTTCGTTTCCCTTTTCTTTCTTTTTCTTTCTCTGGTTCCCTCCCTCCCCTCCCTCCCCTCTCCTTTCTCTTCTCTTCGCTTTGCTTCTATTGGGTTAGAATTTTAGAATTCTCCTCAGCCAGGGGGTCCTGTCTGCCCTCCTTGTGCCCAGGGCTGAGTCTTGTTCCACGTTCCCATCTCGTCCTGCTCAGCCACCTGCTCATCCCTACACCTGTTCCTGACCCTGCCCTGTGGGCCCTGCTTCATCCTACTGTCCCTGTGACATGAGCTCTGTGCTCGGACTCCGCTTGCTGTTCGGGTCTGATGTTGTCCTCCTCATGGTTTCTGTCTCCCTGCTGGTCCTTCTACAGCTGCTGAGGTGATCAGAGGAACGGGCTGGATGCTCAGGGCCTGGGTCTGTGTTGCATTCTGGAGGGCAGCCCTGCTGTCCATTGCCCTCCTACTGTCCGAGATCACCATTGGACATGTTACCAAATGCACGTTTTGAAGTTCGTGCCCCCTTTCTTGGAGAAGGCACACAGATGTGAGGGCTTTGGCCCATAAAGTGTGCTGTGGGGCAGGATGAGTGGCCTTTGCTGAGGGCCTGTGGGAAGAAGGCTTGGCCCAGGAAGCTTGAGATACTGTCCGTCCAGAGGAGGGGTCTTGTAGTTCTGAGGGGATGGAGGCCTCGGGTGTTGTTGCCAGGCTTGACTTGTTGTCTGCATGCTGGCGAGCCATGTGCTTACTCTCCTCCAAGTGGCTAATACTGGGTAGGCCACTTGCCATTTCAGAAAATGCTGTCTGGATGGGGACGAGAAGGGTGCTGGGTAGCACAGCATTTTGAGGTCAGCATAGATACAAACCCTGCAGTCAGCGGGATACAGATCCTGGTGGCATGCCCTCCCCAAGTTTGCTAGTGTAAGATTTGACCCCAGGGTGTGGCCATCTGGCAAGTCCGGTTGTCAGGGTCATCAGTCCCTGGAGTCCCCCCAGCACGGCTTCCCAGGCACACCACAGCTCCTGTGGTACTTCCAGAGATTGTGTTTCCCTGTACCACCTGACTGGCCCGAGCACCAGACAAGGAGGAAAGGGGCTCCTCAGCACGTCCGTACCCAAGCTCACAGAGTGGAGGGCCTCTCTCCAGCTGTCTTATGTCAGTCAGACATATCTGACCTATCCCCCCCTATCGCCCCTTCCCATGCACCTTGGAGAGTTGTGCAAATGTGCAGGGTGGAGGTGGGGATAGAGTAGTGTCCTTGCCTGCTTCTGCCCTGGACCTCCACCCTGCTCGCCTGCACCCTCTAGCCCTCTGTTAGTGCTTGTGGTGAAGCCTGAGAAGGTCTTAAGTCTCTGGAGCTGCATGTTCTTAGATTATTACAAATTTTTCCTTTGCATAAAATGCTAGATTTTGTGCTTATTTTCAATACAGAGTATTGAAAGTATACTTGATAAAAGGTAAACAATGGGTGGAGTTTAGCGCTAAGACCTTCCTGACGTGGTGCCTCTTCTGCCCCAGGTACCAGGGGAAGCCTGTTACAGCCCCTGGAGTTTATGCCCCTAGTGCTGTGCTGTGCATCATATATCTTCAGATGCTTCCGGGCAAGACAGGCCAGAAGGCATGGGTCTGCAACATTTCATGGTCCTGCATCTGTTTTCTCTCCAGCTGCTGTCTGTGCTGTGCCACCAAAGTACGTGAGCGGCTCCAAGCGGTATGGCCGTTGGAGCCAGCCAGAGTGGAGAGCCTCAGGTGCTGAAGCCACATGTGGACCAGAGCAGCAGGCCAGGGCTGGGCTAAAGGGCCAGCTCTGCCATGCCGCATCCCTGGAGAGTGTAGAGGTGGGTTGGTGTCATGCCCCAATCGGGGTGCCTGGGCTGGGGGAGGATGCTTCTCTCTGTCACCATGGTACAGTCACCAGACCTACACCAGACCCCACACCACCAGCTGTCGGGGAGGGCAGTGACATACTGGGCAGCTGAAATTGCCAGCCGCCTGGGTCCATATTGCAGATGGCATATCCTGTAATCTTCTTGGTCTGGTTGCTTTTGGGGGATTTCACCACAGAGCACCCACCTTCAGAGTCCAGCAGTAAATAATTTGTTCACAGACCCTCCATCTCTGTCACTGCAAGATGGGTTTTACAGTGTCACAAGAATGAGCATGATGTGCTAAGGCCAGAAGGGAAAATCACCTTTGATTTGGCCTCGGTTTAGGCATGTTCATGTCCCATGCCCAAGGTCCCACCTGCCTCAAAGGCATGGAAGGCCCTGGGGCCGCCTCCAGCCTTATGTTGCTTCCTCTCCCTGGTGGAGACTGTCTCATGTCTGGGAGGGCCAGGAGACGAACCAGAGTCCCATGCTCCCAAGCAAAGAGAGATTTCTTATGGGCAGGCACACAGCCCTGAAAGGAACCATGAACTCTTGGACTTGTTTCCAAAGAGTCCAGGAGGCCCTGGTCTCACGGTCCATGACAGGAGCTCTGATAGCCAGGCACATTGGGAGCCCTGGCCCCACACTGATGTATTTGTATCTTGAAAATTTGCTGAGATGAAAAAGAGAAAGCAGACACATATTTAAATATTAGCGCTCTTATCTTGGGCCTATTGCATCTGGGCAGCCAGATCCCTGACCTTGCTTTTTATTTTTTTGTGACTTTGGGCCTCAGATATAGAGGCAGAGTGCATGGCACTGGGCTCTGTGCTCCATCTTTGTTGGTGCCATTCTGCGGCTTGAGCTGTCTCTTCTCTGTCTCTCTGTCTCTCTTTCTCTCTCTTTTTCTCTGTCTCTTTCTCTCTGTAATACTGGGGTTGCACACAAGAAGCACTAAGCTACATCTCCAGCCCTATTTTATTTTGAGATTTCGACTAAGTTGCTGAAACTGACTTTGAATTAGTGGTTCTCCTACTTCAGCCTCCCAAGTAGCTGAAGTCACAGGCCCACACCACTGATGCCAACCTTAAGTCATTTTAGGTCCCCATAGGATAAGCACAGGGAGAGCTGCCTTCAGGATTGTCAGTTGAGGTGACACAATAGAACAGTGGGGGTTAAGTGTCAGCAGCTTAGGTTCTGACCCGTGAAAGTGAGTGCCAACTTTGCAGAGCACCCTGCCTTTGGTTCCAGAATCAGTCATGGGACATTCAGTGCTTAGTCAAAAGCAGACTGCTGCTCTGGTCTGCTGATTTGGGCATGGAAATGTGAGGTCATGGCCATGCTGTGTGTTTCTCAGTGGCTTTGGGTGCAAGTTTGCAAAGGATGCTGAGGTGTCAGGTGCCTGTGCCCTGTGGGGCCACAGGGAGCTGCTTTCACTCCACTGTCTGCTGACTTGGTGTGGGTGTGGGCCATGCCCTGCTCATGGAGAAAGCCTCCCTGCAACTGGGATGTGGGCTTCACTGCATTCTCAGTGAGGTGCTGTGGCTGTGTTTACAAGGAGCCCAAGCACAGGTGCCCTTGGGGCTGAAAGGACTTGTTTCACAGGCACTGCGGGCTGCTCAACAAGGCCTCTATGGGGCCTTGGCCTCCTCTGCTGTCCTTATCCTGCCCACACATCTTGTTCTATTTGGAACTCACTTCTTACCCTGTTTTTCCAGAGCCTCAAGTCTGATGAGGAAGCCGAGAGTCCTAGAGAACCTCAGGAAGAGCTGTTCGAGGCCCAAGGTAATATGCGGCCTCATGTTCTCTGCACTCTGCCCCTGGTTGGGCCTGGAGCCCATGTTGGCGGGATGCAGCCCCATGGACAGTGCTATTGAGGACTGTGGAGTCTCCCACTTAGGCCTCAGCTGCTGGATCCAGGGGAAGAGGCCTCTGGCTGTGGTGGTGGTATGGTTCACTGTGGCCCGGGAAGGTTCTGTGGGAGGGGCTGGGTGGGGGCCAGGTGCACAGATGTACAGGGCCTGCAGTGTAGAAGTGTTTCGAATTCTTCCAGTGTTGCCTCCCTCCCAGGGGGGACTCAAGGGCTCCGAGAGAGAGGACTTATTCATGTTAGTTATCTTGTATTTGCCTGTTGTGTACTCTATTGATATAAAGAACAAGTATTAAGAGCCCTAGGGTTTGACTAGGGAGCCAGACCAGTAGCTGTGGCGGGTAGTGTATGAGAAGCAGCCTGAACCAACTGCAAGTGTGTATGAAACTGCAAAGTGGGTGGAGCAATGCAAGGTCCGAGCAGCTGCTCAGAACTGGATGTCCTTGCAACCCTGAGGAGCCCTGAGGCATGTGTCATCCGGTGGCAGGCAGGGTACAGGCTGAGCTCCTCGGCACTTGGTGCAGCCTGAGGCTAGCGTGAGCCTCTGGCCACACACTTCTTCACGTGGCCAAGATGAGGGTGGGTGGGCAGGGCTTGGCCATGTTCCTCTTTTTGCTCTGGGTGGGTCTGAAAGTTTTAAAAAATTACATTCTTAAAGAGCTGGTTTTGGGGCTAGGACATAGATTAGCATTAGAGTGCTTATCTATGTGTGAGGCCCTGGTTTTTATCCCCAGCACTGCACAAAGAAAAGAAGGATTGATTTGTGGAACTAAAACACCCAGGAAAAGCTGGTAAACCAAGCCTCTGCATGTTTCTGGGCTCTGGCCTCAGCAGGTACCCTTAGGAAGTGCTTTCATCAGGCAGGACGTGGAGAAACATCTCACATCAAAACTTAACACATGTGAAGTTGGGAGGACCGTGTCTTCCCCCAAATCAGATTCCTGCCACTCCCCTGCCTCCCACACGTCTCTGTCCATGGCTGGTACATCTGGCCTCAGAGTCAAGCTCCAGTGTCCACATGTTTCTGCCCAGACACAGTCCGACTGTTGGTGTCCCCAGCTTTCCTGCGGTGTGATTTACAGGAGGAACACCTCATGGTACTCCCTCAAGTGTGCAAGTACACATGTGAATGTATAGTACACACACAAGTAGGTATCATGTCCGTGCATGTGTGTGTACACATGTGTGAGAACTCTTGAGATCTGCTCTCTGAGCAGATTCCCCGTAGTCTTTACATAGTTAACAATAGTCACCATGCCACACATGCATCTCTGGTCTAACCACCTCCTAACGGCAGTGCACTGCATCCTCTGGTGAACAATTCCACTCTGTAACCCACTTCCCTCTCTATCACCACATTCCTCTTCAGATCCCACCACAGGTGGGACCATGCACTCTTTATCCGCTATGCCTGGTGTAATGACCTCCAGATCCTTCAACACCACTGCAAACACTGGATTTCCTTCCTTCTGCAACTGAATATTCCATGCACGTTCAGCAGGGTTTAACTATGGCTCCCCCTTGCTCCAGGGCAGCTGCAAACTTGGGGCTCTGAGGTTTTTGGGAGCATCCAGAAGTCCTGCAGCTCCTCCTGTGCCTCACCTGAGAGCCGGATCCAGGGCATCTGGGAGCAGCTAGGAGTTGGCAGTCGTGGCCACCTGGATGAGCAGGAGCTGGCTGTGGTATGCCACAGCATCGGGCTCCTTGGACTCGCAGAGGAGGTAAGGGCCTGGGGCTCTGTAGTGCATGAGGGTGCAGCTATGTGCTAGTGTGGAAAACTCCCTCGCCCTGCAGGCACAAATTTAGTTCTGCTTTCTGGCCTCAAAACCTTGGATGGCTCCCAGTTCTTCTGGGAATTGAACTCCAGGCCCTCTGTGACAGCCTGGCCCAGCCTCTCAGACTTCCTGCCGACCCCCACGGTGTCCTGGGCAGGTGTGATATCTCCGCTCACAATACTGGATCTGCCTAGAGTGGACCCTGGCCTACTCTGCAGGGCCCTGTTCTGTACCAGCTCAGAGAGGCAGCCCAGAGAGGTAGCCCTAGGCCTATGTGTGATCCTGGGTACCCATGGAGACCAGGGACACAGTGCCTTGCTGGACTGTAAGCCGGGGTTCAGCCATGCCTATCACATGCCTCTCCATGTCCAGCAGATTCCAGTCCCCAGTGGACAAAATATAGTCAGGAAGACCTGGTTTGCCCACTCACGATGGGAGAGAAACTGAGATGGGGGCCTCAGGAAAGCTCCTGGTCAGTTCAGGCTGGGCAGGGACAGCCCCACGGGGTTTCTGGAGCCTGGGTGGGCCCCCTTCAGAGCCTGAAAAGCAGCATCTTTGGTCCAGGAATTGAAAGACCTATTCCACAAACTGGACCAGGACGGTGATGGCAGAGTGAGTCTCGCAGAATTCCAGCTCGGCCTGTGCCATCACAAGCCCATGCTGCTTCCGGAGTCTCCCCTCCTCAAGCCCTGGTCCCACAGCCAGGTAAACGGGACAGTTACAAGTCAGACCCTGGCCATCACTCTGTGACCATAGCTTGGTGTCTGTGTGTATAACCCAGTGAGCCCCGAGGGAGCCACAGGCTGAGCATGGCGGGGCAGGGGCTGACCTATATGTTACAAGGTGAATGAATCCCTTGGTGTCTCTGAGGCTCAGGCTCCTCTGTAAAGGGGAACAGGAAAGGCTCCCCCCTGGGGCTTATGGGGATCACCATGGTACAGGTACACAGCAGTGCCTCCGTGGCTTCTGGGTGGTGTCAGTGGGACGCCCCCTCCCCAAGGTGGCTGACAGGGATCCTCAATTCCTTAGGTGTCCTGAGGCCTGGCTCCTTTCACTGGCTCACTGCTCTGAGAGGGAGGGGCCACTGCAGCGCTGAACTATGCTGGCTGTGCTGAGTGGCTACCAGCTGGGCATCGAGTCCTGGCACCTTTGCTCAGGTGCCCAAGGTGCTGCATCCTGCGGAGGTATCAGGCCTTGGGTTCATCAGCCACTTGCAGGTCAGCCGCTGCTTTCCATGCCTGAGATTCTCAGCATCTGTGAGGACCCCGGTCCCCATGCCCAGCACCTACCTCACCTGCCAGGGCCACACCCTCCCTGGGCAGTGTGGCCCCCAGCTTGTGACAGCTGTGGCAGCTCCTGGGCACCATGACCCTGGTCCATCTTTGCCTACAGTCTGCACACATGTGTTTGACGGTGTGTGCACACCACTTGTACACATACATTGCCTGAACACCCACTGTATACAGACACTGCCTGTGGACATTGCTGCTTGCACATACACATACATTGTATCTGTGTAGCAACCGGATACTCAGTGCTGTGCTGCCCCAGTATAGACACATCCACTCCAAGTGTCTCGCTGAATGTATGTTTACCCTACATGGAATCCGCAGGGACATTCACATCTGTTGTCTGTGTAAACCCTCCACATATGCATGCATGTGCTCATATACCACATGTACATATGCACTTGCACATGCACTGTGTACATGATGCACATATACGTGCTGTTATGCTCATCTGCTATCTGCGTGTACTCTGCAGACATGCACACGCATATGTAACACACTGCATTCCCCACATCTGGACTCCCTGTGCACACTGTATGTGTATTCCTTGTAACATGGGAGGCCAGAGCCCCCAGGCCATGTCCTGCAGATGCCGTTGCCTCTGAACACAGGGCCTCCACTGGCAGCATCTAGTTACCTGGTCCCCGGGGCCCTGATAGCTGTGCAGGACACATGGAGCTGTCCTTCCCACAAACCCTGGTTCCTCAGAGATGGTGTGGGGAGCAGGTGGACATGGCTGCCTGTGGGTCTCACGGACTGAGGGCCTCCATGTGGTCTGGTGGTGTCACTGGAGCAGAGATGAAGCAGGGACAGCCAGGCAAGTGTCAGGCACAGGACCACAGGGAAAATCATGAAGGGCAAGGTGGCCTGAGAGCCAGACCCATGTGAACAGGGTTGAAAGGGAGAACAGAGGCATCTGGAGTACAGGACCCACCGCCATCCTGAGCCCTGGGGTCTCAGATGGCAAAAGTTTGTTGGGCAGGACTGAGCGGGGGCAGAGTGCACAGGAGACGCCATCACAGGACTGGAGCAGAGAGTTTGGCTTGCCTTCTGGTGGTGCCCACACAGGGCTCCTGGGGCGCAGGCTTCTGGGGTGCAGGGCTGCTCAGCCTGGCTTTTCCTGGCTTTGCATGCAGCTTCCTGAGTTTTCCTCTGCAGGCCTAGTGCTTGTGTACCAGCTCAGGGCAGAAATGTCAGGCCAAGCATGCTCCTTTACCACATGACACTCACCTGGGCAGGGTCGAGCACACAGGCCCACAGTGTCCAAAGATGGCACAGGAGCAGGTGCTGGGGCCCTTGCAGGAGCATAGGATCAAGGACATTGTAGTTGTGTCCCCTGTGGGGCCATGTGACTCTGGCAAAGCTGTGATGGTGCCCTGCCTCTTTCCTGTGCTGCAGGAGAGGTACCAATAACAGTCCTGGGTGCTGTTCCTGCACAGGCACAGATGAGAGGACAGTGCTGGTGGGGACTAAGGAGGAGCTGCTGAGTCACCAATGCCACGTGCTTAGGTGCCCTCCCTTTCCCAGGGGCAGGTCCCGGAGGAGAGCGGCTGTCACACCGCCACCACCACCTCCTCCCTTGCTTCTGTGAGCTGTGGCCTGCGCCTCTTCTCCAGCATCGATGATGGCAGTGGTTTTGCCCTTCCGGAGCAGGTCATCGCCACCTGGGCCCAGGAGGGCATCCGCAGTGGCCGGGAGATCCTGCAGGTTTGGGTGGCACCTGGGGAGCAGGGGCCTCTCTGCAGATGCGCAGATGTGTGCCCACCAAAGAGGGTAGGCGAGTACCCCTGCTAGGGCACAGCAAGACACAGGATCTGTATGAAGAATCTCATGGGAAGAGTCTGTGGGGAAACCTTTTTCCTTTAATTTTACTATTAAAATACAGGAAATTTTAAATGTACACAAAATACAAGAAAACAGCCTGAAAAGGTCCAGTTGTGGGGGCGTTTCAGTGCCCTGCACAGGGGAGGGCAGTGTTGCCGACCATCCAGAGGAGCCCCTCTGGTGGCTGGAGCTGTCCCCACCAGACACCTCTCCCATGAAGGCTCATGTTGGGGTGACTTGCGCAGCTGGTAGGGCTCTTGTAGGCATCAGGAGACCATATTGAAAGGGAAGGTAGGACAGATGGAACCTGACCTGTCCGATGAAGAGGCAGCGGTGACCCAGTGTGGTCTACATCTTTACACATAGTGGAAAGGGGGAAAGCTTATGACAGGTCCAAAAGTTCATGGTCTCGGTGTTTTGCTGAGATCACTGAGAGTGGAATCTTCTCAGAGATTTCTGTTCAGGGAGGAGTGCGGAGGCCACACACCAACTGAATCTGCCTTGCTCCTGCCCCAAGGTCCTTGCCTACCTCCAGCTCAGCTGCTCTCCACAGGGTGTCAGGGTCATGCCCCATGGGGTATTGTCCCTGAGTCGCACTGCTGTCATTCTCAGACTCCACTCTCCTGGGGTAGGGATGCTCACTGTGGCCATGGCCTGTGTGCTCAACTGGGTCTCTGTGGGGCCTCGAATGAATGAGCACAGGGGGAGTGATGCACAGGTAGGGCTGATACAAAGCAGGAGTTAGGCACCCCAGGCCTGCAGCATTGCAGGTCACAGTGGGAGGGCATGTAGCGTTTTTAAGTTCATTTTCCAAAACCCCAGTGGTCAGGCCACGCTCCCTTCTGGGGTCCAGCTCACTACGGACCCCCGTCAGGTCACTTTCTGCAGCAGAATCCTTGCCTGCTCCTTCTTGGTAGGGCAGCCTTTCATCCCAGGTAAAGCTAGGGGCTTAAGCACAAGGTGAAGCCAGGCCCAAGTGGGTGGGAGATGCATGAGGTGTTGGATGAGGCCTCTGTGCTTCTGTCCAGTCTGGGTCTCTTCCACCCTGAGGCAGGGACTGGGGGCTACCTCACAACAAGGTTGAGGCCATCTACTGCAAAAGGGACAAGGGTCCCTACTGGAGGAGTAAGAGAGGTCACATTGTGACAGGAGTAGGGCATGATGTTGGTGACACCTCCCAGGGCAGAGACCAACAGAGTGGGTGCTGATTGTGACAGCTACAGAGCCCCTGCTCTCCTGCCCTAGGGGGTGGGATGCATCCTGCAGCCCTCACCCTTGTGCTTCACTGCTTCCAGAGCCTGGACTTCAGCCTGGAAGAGAAGGTTGACCTCCTGGAGCTAACCTGGGCCCTGGACAACGAGCTCCTGACAGTCGACAGTGTCATCCAGCAGGCGGCCTTGGCCTGCTACCGCCAGGAGCTGAGCTACCTCCAGTAAGAGCCAGGCTGAGGTCTGGGAAGCCCAGGACAGGCAGGGACTGCTTCCTGCTCCTTTCCAGTGGCCAGGCCTGGGATGAGTGCCTTACCCTGAGCTCCTGAGGCTGGAAAGGCGCCAGGTAGAGCAGAGGAGGTAGCTCACAGATCTGGGGCCGTGGCCTAAGGACAGGCTGCTGGCCTGTTTGCTGGTGGGAAGCTCAGAGGTCTGAATGTCAGGTCCGCACTGTGACCATCTAGTGATGCTTAAGAGGGACAGGGACTTGCTTGGCATCCGAAGCTCCTGGCTGGGAACCTGCTTCCAAGAGGAGCCACAGGCTTGCAAATCAGACCAGCAATAGGCAGAGGATGTCTTCACCAACATGCAGTGACTGCTGGGCCTAGGCACAGTCTCAGGATGGGGCTTGGACTTGGCGTGGGTGACGGTCAAGCCTGTGTCTGCAGAGCATGGGCAGAATGTGCCCTGTAGCTGCAAAAAAGATGGAAGAGACCCCAGCTGAGCCTGAAGACAGCAGCGCTGGGTCAGAGCCTGGCAAAAAGCATTTGACCTCAGGCAGCTCTGCAAACAGGTCCAAGAAGGCAGAGGGAAGCCAGCTCGCCCTCCGTGGGCAGAGTGGATGCCTAGTGGCTGGGCCATGTGGCAGACGCCCTTTGTTCCTGGAGCTCACTTATGCTTGCTGCTACCAGGTGCTGGGCTTAAGGCTGTGCCCACAGCATCAGGGTGGCTGGGTTTCCCCTTTTGCACCTATGCCTGGGTTAGATGAAGGTGTCTGAGGGTTTTTGGCCGAGCTGAGATGGGAGGGCTCACATATGATGCCCACATGGCCCAGGCCCTCTGCAGATATGGGTCTGGCTCACAGGAGCTGGGGTCTTGGCCCCTGCCTTAGTTTTCTATCTGTAGGGTGGGCGCAGCAGTGGCAGAGCCCTGCGGTGGATGGGGGTGCTGTAGAGGCAGTGAGACCTATTGCCCCATTAGTGCAGCCAGGAGTGTGGGATTCAGAGAGGCCGATGGGGTCCCTCTATGGCCTGTCCTTGCCCTGCAGGGAGCAGGTGGAACAGCTGGCACGGGAGCGAGACAAGGCCAGGCAGGACCTGGAGCGGGCTGAGCGGAGGAGCCTGGAGCTAGCAAGAGAGATGGATGATGGCCACACTGCGCTGGAGCAGCTCACAGAGCGGAGGATCCAGTGGGTTCTGGGCTCCTCAACACACGGGCCCTGGTCTGGCTGGGACAGCCAGCATGGCAGCTCCTTCTCCAGTGTAGGCAGGATTAGGAGCCTTGCATTCCCAGGCCGGGGCAGACTCAGAAGGTGTGGCTGGGCCTAAGCTGGTAGCATCTTGCTCTTCATGGCTCGGTTGTGAGGCCTCCCGGTCATCAACTCCAGGGTCTGCAGTCCTATAACAGCGGTCAAGTAGTGGCGCCGGAGGTGGAACGGGGCAGAGGGTACCAGTGGGCCCTCTCACCCTGTTCTGTGCACTTCCTCACCCCTGGGTGGAGGGCTGCTGCTGCCTTGGCCCTGTGATACAAGTCACCCTTAATCTCAGGTCACCCCTGCCCCAGTCTGGGGGGCTCCTCAGCTGGGCAAGAATAGGACCACGGAGACCACAGTGGCAGTAGGCGTCCTCACATGGGCATTACCGGGAGTCCAGCAAGCCGTGTCGCACTGCAGGTGCCTGGAGCAGGACTACCAAGGACGGCTGAGTCTCCTGCGGGCAGAGGTGGCAGCGGAGCGGGAGCAGGTCTGGGAGCAGGCCTGCAGGCAGCATGCTGCACTGGAGCAGGACTTGGGCCTCCTGCGGGCTGAAGAGTCCAGGCTGCGCCACAGGCTGGGGCTGGCTGCAAAGGTAGGCAGTGCGCTGAGGGGGCAGGCAGGAAGGCAGCACCCTTCCTCCCTCTGGCTCTGGCCCCGGTCCAGTTGTGTGTCCCAAGCCTGTACACCTGCTCTTGGCTTCAGGAGCCACCTGGGCTGCGAGGACAGTCAAGGCCAGAGATGCTCACCTGTGCCTGACCCTGTACCTTCCATCCCTTTTCTTCCTCCTAAGATGAATTCATAACTAATTTCAGCTCCTGTGGGATGTGATTGCAGCCCCCATCCTTGCTTTCCATGGACTTTTTTTTTTTGCAGTACTGGGACTGGAACCCAGGGTCTCTTTGTATTCAGCTAGATCTCCAGCCTTTTAAAATTCTTTGTTTTAAACTGAGTGTGGTGGCACATGCCTATAATCCCAGCACTTAGAAGGCTGAGGCAGGATGATTATTGTAGGTTTGAAGCCAGCCTGAACTACATACTGGGACTCTGTCTCAAAAAACAAACCAAAAACTATTTATTTATTTATTTATTTATTTTTTGAGACAGGGTTTCACTAAGCTGTCCAGGTGGGCTGGAACTTGTGATCCACCTGCCTAGGCTTCCTAGCGAGCTAGGGTTACAGGATGTTCCATCGGGGATTGTGTCTTCTCAGTTCAGTCTCTGGCATCTGAAGATGCCACCCTCCTGCCTACTGATCCAGTTTCAATGCAATCTTTTGAGAATATCTTGGAAATGCTGCAGCAGCCCTTTATTGTATTTTCACTCATGACCTTTCTGAGTGTTGGGTGGGAAGAGGCAAGAAAGTAAGATGAGATTGACAGGGACCCAGGACTGTCCCCAGGAGGCTGTGGGCCACCTGCTCACCTGCCTTCCAGGGCACACCTGCCTCCCATGCAGCCAAGTCACGCAGACACCTGCCCACCTCCTCCTTGCCTTCCAAGCCTCGTCAACACCACCTGTCCTGTAGGAGAACAGCCGGTTACAGCAGGAGATCCTGGAGGTGGTAGGGAAGCTCTCGGATTCAGAGAAGCTGGTTCTGAAACTGCAGGGTGACCTGGAGTTCATACTGAAGGAAAAGGCAAGTCCCCTGCAGAGCCCTGGGTGGGGGAAGTCAGAGTCGGTGACGGAATGTGGGATTTCTCTCCTGAAGTCCTTGGCCTGGAGAGAAAGTCATTGTGATAGCCTTGCTCCTATTTTATAGCCCCTTAACTGATGCTACCTTCTGCTAGCCACATCCTGAGGAGGCCAGAGGCCAGCATGTCTGCTGGGTCCAAGAGCTTTCCAGGGTGACAGTGGATGGCCCCACATGCCCATCCTGTGGGGTGGGAACACTCAGAGGCCAGGGGAGAATGCTGGAGGGCTGTGCTTGCCACTGTCGGCTGCTGGAAGGAAGCTGCATTTTCAGCTGGGGCTGGAGAAGGCCCCACTCATGCTCTCTGCGCACAGCCTGGCCTCCATGTGCACGGCTGCGCCCTGCAGGCTACCTTGCCCATTTTTTGCTCTTCTAGCTGGAGCCACAGGCCATGGAGCTCAGAGGCCAGGAGGAACGGTTCGAGGCTGTCCTGAAGGAGTATGAGCTCAAGTGCCGGGTAGGTGACCCAAGCAACATGGCCCCCAGCCCACCACCAGGACAGGCTGGCTCACGCTGTGGTGGCCACCAGGGGCCTTGTTCCCTCCCTCCCTATGGGTGGACTCAGCATCCTCAGCAGGATGGTCCAGTAGGCATGGCAGGAGGATTCCTTCCAGCCAGAGCTGCTGCCCAGGGCTGTGCCCAGTCCCAGAGGGGTTGCCAGGTCGAGTGGGGTCAGGTTCTGCATCCAGGATTGGTCCTCATAAAGACATTTTAGTGCCAGAGGAAAACTAAATAAGCAAACCAGAACTGAGTTGGGCTGGTTATTAACAACAGAAAAATTATTTGATTTATAAATAATTTATCACATAGTCTTTATTACTCATTGTTCGTTAGGATTTGAGTTACCAAAAGTTAACTTATATAAACCTTACAAGAAACCTTTTTTTGCAAAACATGTACATGTGATTAAAATTAAGCTCCATGAGGAACTGATGCCCTTGAGACCTGGCCTGATGGCGTGTACCTCAGCTGCACGGGAAACTGTGGCAGGACCCTCCCTTGAGCCCAAGAATTGGAGGCCAACCTGGGCAGCACAGTGAGACCCTGCCTCAAAAAAATAAAGCTCCACTGTGGCCCACCTGCCCTTCCAACATCCTTGGCATTAAGAAAGTTGTGTCCCCAGAAGCTAAAATGGTAGAACCCGGAAAGTACCACAGGTCCAGTGCCAGGGACTGGGGAAGATTGTCATGCTAATGACTTAGTGGAGTCCCACATGGCCTTTTGTGGACATGTGGGATGTTTGTAGACATGAAATCCTACATAGGCAACATTGCTGAGTGACCAAGCAGAAATAATACATGGTCTCAGGTTAGAGTTGTGGAAAACTCCAGACAAGGGCCAAAGGTGTTGCTCAGCTGGAGGGTCACAGTTGACGTGAGTGAGGCCCTGGGTTCAACCACCAGCACCAAAAACAAGATAAAACAACAACAAATTCCATATAAGAAACCCCACTGACAAAAATAAAACTCTAAGGTCAGCAGAGAGTGCTGGTCACTCGTACTTTTCCATCATTGCCGAAGTGGTAATTAGCATGAACATTTCCAAGCAGACGCCCAGTCTGCCAGTCTGGAGGCATGGTTAGGGGCTGTGGTGCTTGGCATTGATGTGGAGGTGGGGTGGACAGCTGCTGTCCTGCTTTGAATGCTTTCTCCTGTATTTTGCTCACTGGGTTTTACCCCAGATTACCTCGTGCTAAAAATCCAGTTATTTCTCGGACATACTGTGGTCATCGTTAAGGGCACTAATAACTATAAAGTGATTTCCTGACTTGAAAATTAAGCAGGTGTTGTGGACAGAAAGTCCATCTGGAAAGCTGACCTTGTATCCAGAGGGGGCCCTGTGAAGGTATGAGAAGCTTTTCTTGGGTTTCTGCCAGCATTTGTTCCTGCTGCACTTGCTGTGTAGCATTGTGGGATGTAGATGGCCGTCGCCTGAGTCTGACCCAGACCTGACCCTGGGTGTGCCATTCTGTCCCTCTGCTCTGCGATCCCTGGGTGGCCCATGTTCTCCCTCCCTGCAGACTCACCTGGCATGATGGGGTGAGTTGGGCTCAGGCAGCTTTCGACCTGATCACAGGTGGTGCCTCCTTCCCTTGAACTTGCAGGAAGGCAGAACCTAGAACTGTGTGGGTTTTCAAGCAACTGTCAATCCATCAACCTGACTTTGCTATTCTTTCACCTTTGACTCTGAAAGTTTTATTTTTTTAGACATCATCAGGGGTATTTTACATTTTGGTGCAAACCTTTTTAGAAACTTTCACTTTCCATATTTTGGGAATATTTTTTATTGTTCCCAATGGACATTTAGACCATTTTTAAAACCTTTTGTGCCAGGTATGGTAGTACACACCTGTCATTCCAGCACCAGGAGATTGAGGATCACTGTAAGTTCAAGGCCAGCCTGAACTGCACAGAGCAACCCTGTCTCAAAAAGGCACACATGAAGAAAGTAAAATTTAATTAAATTAAATTAGACCTATTGTTTACAAGTAATTTCAAGCTTGAACCCACAAACATAAAAATAGTACAGGGAACAAACCCCTGCGCACCTTGTCCTTAGGCTCCCCACTTACCGCATTGCTTGCATAGTTGGTATGTGTGTGTGCACGTATGTGCACCTGCAGCAATCAATCTACAGCCAAGTAGACTGATAAAGGCTCGGGAATTCTGCAGCACTTGTCAAAACTTAGGTAGCTTTAAATTGGGCATGGTGAGATAATTTGCACCATAGAAATATTGGAAAGCTGCAGAGCAGGCCAGTGTTTCCTTGAGAGGAGCCCCTCCAGCACCCTGTGAAATGTGGAGGATAGAGCCCCGTGGAGCACGTCTGCCTGCCGCCCTCCTGGCCATCTTCTCTCCGAAGCAAGAGGAGCTTAGAGCTTGGCAGTGTTTGGCTTTCCTGTCCCTCTGCAATGTACTCACAGCCTGCCTTTGTCTTTTAAGGCATTGTTTATTTTGAAGACTGCAGATCCTCCTGCACCTCCCTGCTTTTTCATAGAAACTTTATCATTTCGTGGGTTTGTTTTTTGTTTATGATTTCCTATTAGTTTTTCCAGCTGGGGATTGAATCTAAGCTCTTCAAACTGAGCTATACATTCAGCCCTTTTTAGTTATTTATTTTTATTCATGTGAGACAGGGCCTTACTAAATTGCCCATGCTGAGCACAAACTTTCCATTCTCTTGCCTCAGTTTTCCAGTGTGCTGGAATTATAGGGATGTGCCATCATGCCCACCTTTAAAACTGTGTAATTGACAGAATTGAACATCCTTATGGGCATAATGCGATAATTCAGTACGTTTGCAGTGTGGGAAAATCAAATCAGGGAATGAGCATGCCTACTCTTTCAAACACTTATCACTTCTTTGTCCTCTCTGGTAGTTTCCTGATACCGAAATGAACTGCTGTAAACTGTGGTCACTGGTGATTGCTTTTGATTTGGTAAAGGCTGGGCCTCCTCTGCTGGCCACTGGGAGGGCAGGTTGTGTCCAGCAGCCTTGTTTTGTGTTATTGATCCCCTGTTGAGGTGTTGCTGGGTTCCATGATGTGTGATGATAGTGTTTTTCCCCTTACACTGATGAGCAGTCAGCAGGGGACATTTTCTGGGCATCTAAGTTTTCTGCTCATCAACAAAGTCTTCGCAGCTTAGCGTCACTGCTGATTGCTGCCCATTTTGGTCTTTACTGTGCTGGTTGAAAAATGCTAGTTTTTCCAGTGTCGTGCTGTTGGCCTTTCGCTGTCACTAGAGAAGTCCTATCTGTCTGTCAGTAGAGTGGACCTATGTATTCCTGTTTACCCTCAAGAGTATACAGTTTATTTGTGTGCTTAGTGATTTGCTTGTAGGACTGGCAGTGTGTCTAGCTGTTTCTGCATCCTGGGACATTCCTTTTGCTCACTGTTCTCTCTGAGCAGATGGACTAGCCATCCTGTCACCAAGTACCTCAGGCCTTGTCTGCAATCCAGTTTCTCCATGAAGCCCTGACCTCATTCACAGAGAAGGGTCTTGGGGACCAAGCCCAGGGCTTGGCCAGGCTTCACTGCTTCTGGGTCTAAGTCATCTTTTGTAGTCTCTAGGTCCCAAAGTGATCACCCTCTGTTTCCTTGTGTGTCACCGTCCTTCTGAGATCACTTGGTGCTGACTAAACAAAGCACCTATAGTTCAGGTGTGGACATTTTCCACATCTCCCTTTGTCCACTCCACCTGCATTCATACAACACACAAAAAAGTCAACAGTGACCATGCTGCTTAGTTATGACACAGTTGTCACCTGGGAGTTCAGTGTCACTGCCTGCTTGTCCCACAGTGATTGTTCCCTAGGGATAGAGCTGCACCAAGCCAGCTAACAGCTGTAGCACTGAAGGAAGTGTCTGCTGTGCCCCCAGGACCTGCAGGACCAGAATGATGAGCTTCAGGCCAAGCTGGAGAGACTGCGCATGTGGCCACCTGGGAATGGGAGTCAGCAGTGCCCTGCTGGGGAACCTAGACACCACTCAGCAGGTAGGTGTCCACAAGGTGAGGCGATGATGGGTTCACAGCAGTGGCCCAAGGCTGAGCATTCACCCAGCATGGGACTAGGACCATAGAGGAAAGGAGGGTTTATATGAACAAGGTCATGGGTGACACTGGGGACATGTCTGCCTGCAGTGGTCCCCAGGGAAGGTTGATACCCACCAGGGACATGAAGGTGGTCATCAAGGGAGGTGGCTGGAGGGCAAGTACAGTGTCCTGCGTGTCCAAGGGCATCCTCATCCTGTGTGCAGAGTTCACATTTCAGTCTCTGTGCTCGGCTGAGGAATCAGGGCCAGCTGAAGCTGCAGTGCAGGACCCTTAGCTCTTTGGGAGACCTGGTGTTTGCCATGGGCCCTTTGCAGGGTAGGTGACCTGCATGCAGTGCAGGAACCCAGGCCTTGCCTGCTCCCCACCACCCCCAGCCATGGCAGCCCCGACTCTGGGATCCCTGTGTGCTCCAGCAACTGAGAGCAGTTGGGGTCCCACATTGCTCTGAAGCTGCTTACTTAATAAAGTGAAAGGAAGTTGTGCCCAAGTGGAGCCTATGGGACATAGTGGATTCCATGCATGGGGGCCCTATGCTGACACCCTTCTGCCACCAATGCTCTGGGAAGCCTGGGAAGAAGTAAGGACAGTGCTAGTGCACACAATCTGCAGCCGTTAGCACAGCCTGGCTACAGGGTGAGTGGCCTTGTCCAGTGTGGCCTTGTCAGGTGCCCAGGTTGGCTGTAGAGAGTCCCCTGGCTCTGCTAGTGAAGTTCTGGCTTGCCGGTGCCTCTACCAGGGCTGGAGTGCTACCAGGGCTGGGGTGGCAGCTCTGCTAATGGAAGCCACGTCATTGTGTGGTATTAAAATAACACAGGCTACCCAGAAAATAGACTCAGCAGTAGGGTCTGCATGCACATATAAGGAGCACCCGCAGGCTACCAGGCACAGCTTGTCCTGCCAAGTTTCCTCTCTGCACCTGGCATTGTTGGGAGCTGATTCTGGGTGCAACAAATGTCTGGCTTGTGGGATCTTTGGGAATTGGTCCTGCGGACCTTGTGGGGAGCCTCCTGGTTTGTCTCTTCTGGTGTAGACAGCACTGGTTTCCGACAGCACAGCCTTCCAGATGCCACATGCAGACTGGTGCCTCGTCATCAGGTAGCGAGGATGCTGACTACAGGGCCTGGCAGGCTCCCTGGTGTCATTGGCATGGTAGAAACAGTGTCTTCTTGTTTGCAGGCATGTTCTCAAACAACTCAAGGTCAGTGAGTCTGGAAACAGAGATCATGGTGGAGGAGATGCGGGAGCACTGCCAGGAGCTCAGGACCCAGCTGGAGGCCAAGGTTAGGGGCCAGCATCACTAGCTGCATGCCAGGCCCCTCGCTTGGGAAGGAGAGAGGAAGTGATGGTCATCCAGGGGAGCAGGTTGAGCCCAGGGTAACCTGATCAGAGGTCTGCCCTGCTTGGCTGGTTACCACTTTGCCTGAAGCCTACGTGCCTTGGTGGTACAGGGACTTGAGCTGTATGGCTGGGGCCTCCCAGACCAGCGTGTCTGCTGCTTTGCTGCTGTCTCCTGAGGGGCTAAGGGGCAGCATCCATGGCTCACTGTCTCTCTGCTGTCTTGGCAAATTTGGCAGGCTGCTTCTGGCCTGCAGATGGGGTGACAGGCGCCCCTCTGGCCTTACCTGCCTGTACCTGGATCCTGTCCCCCGAATTGGCCCAGCAAAGGCTCTGAGCTCACAGCTGTCACTCGCTCTGCCCTCCTTTTGTCACCTTCTCGCAGCTCTTCGGAGGAGCATCATGAGGTCACACTGGGCCCTGGGAGCATTGCCATCAGACATGTGACTGCTTGTCCTGCAGGCACTGCTCGTCACTAGATTGTCTTGCCATGTGGTTACTTTCAGGACCTCTGGGTTAGCACTGCTCTTAATTTCTTTTCAGGTAAATGCCTACGAGGGGGAAATCAAGGCCATGAAGAACAGTTTCGAGAAGGAGAGGATGGAGCTGGAGCAGGTGCGGCAGCGGGAGGTCGCAGCGCTGGAGGCCCAGAGAGCAGACCTGGAGGCACTGTGCGCCAAATCCCAAGAGGTCATCCTGGGCCTGCGGGAGCAGCTGCAGGAGGCAGCCGGTAGTCCCAAGTCCGTGAGGGCCGGGCCTACCTCCTGCTGCGCCCAGGCACTCTGTGACCTGACCCAGTGGCTGGAGCTTCGCACACAGCGGCAGTACCAGGGCGAGCTGCGGCAGATCAGGTCTGCGCTCAGCCTGCTGGGATGCATTTAATCTCTGCTTTGTCAGGCACGGCCTGGCCACTCTCACTTATTGCTTTCAGTTTCCGGGATATCATAGGTGCTGGTGGGGAGAACAAGCCGTTTCCTGAAAAGCCTTGAACATTTCTACCGACCTCAGAAAAGGGTTATTTGGAAAACTAGACTATGCTTTTTGTTTGTGTTTTGTTTCTTAGGACAGGGTCTCGCTATGCAGTTCAGGTTGGCCTTGAACTCACGATGGAGCCCAGGCTGGCCTTAATTAAACTTGTGGCAGTCTACCTGCCCCAGCCTTCCAAGTGCTGGGGTTACAGGTGTGTGCCACCAGCCTGGCTCCGGAGTATGTTCTCATGTTTCACAGTTGCTGGGAATGTTGCCACCTCACGCCTGAAGCTGGTCCAAAGGGGGCATGGAGCTATTTGGGGACACGACACTGGCCCAAGGGGCCTCCCATGGCTGGGACTGGGGACCCAAAGTACCTTCCTGGGTGACTGTGGCCCTGACTGGGATAAGGGGACACTCTTGTTTGTTTGGAGTTGGAGTGGACTGGGTACATGGGACAATGACAGGGAGGTATCAGTGTCCCAAGCCCATTCCAAGGGATACATGGGCCTTTGCTTGGGGCCAGGGGGCTGACTGACAGCCTCCTGGACCTAGAGGAGACGGTGTTTTTGAGTTTCGCGCTTGTCCTAATCTCTTTTCCCTCAAACCCAGAGCAGGTGGAAGGGACTCAGCCTACACTTTTGCAGGCCCCTGTGGTGGCTGAAGGACAGACCTAGGCGAGGCAGGCCCATGCTGGCAGTTGTGGGCCTTGAGCCCGGTACCCTGCTCTGGGCTGTGGGGCAGGATTTCAGTTCTTTCACTGTGATGCCATACAGTAAGCCACTGCTGTGGTCTGCTGCTTCCTTTTGGGCTGCATCTTTGTGGAGAACCCAATGCTGAGCTCAGATCTCATGGGACTCCGAGGAGGCTCCCAGTGTGGACAGAAGCCTTGGGGCTCAGGGACATGAAATCAGGTGCAGCCAGACAGCTAAGAGATAGTCACTGGGCAAGGGAGTGAGGTGTGTGACATGTGGTTTCTCCCTAGACAAGAGGCTGCTGCGGAACTGAGCTGGATGTTGTCCCGGCTGGAAGCCCAGCATGACACATGCTACAAGAGCCTGGTCCCACGGCACCAATGTGAGAAGGACTGGCTGCGGCAGGTACTCCTGCAGCGGGAGGCAGAGATGCATGTGCGCTGCCAGGAGCAGCAGCAGAGATTGCAGGCAGCCCTGGGCAAGGAGCAGGTACAGATGTGCAGGTGCTTTGCCCTGGAGAGGAAGAGACTGGAGCATGCCCACTGTGAGCAGCTGGAGCACTTGGTCCAGGAGGCAGAGGTGCTGCAGGCCCTGCTACGAGGTGGAGCTGCAGCGACCATTGGCAGAGAGTGGAAGGGGGCACCCAGCCACTCTTCCCTGTGCCCAGGCACCCCTGGAGGACCAGAGAAGCTGGTGGGAGACTGGCCTGGCCAGCCCTGCTGTGTGGATGCTGTGTTCCAACAGCCTCCAGAGAGCCTTAACCACGAACAGAACTGCTGGGGCCTGCTGGACCTGGAGGAGGTAGTGTCTGACCCCTGCGAGAAGGGGTCACTCAGGTGGCCCCCTGGGCAGAGTGAAGGGCCCGACTCTGAGAAGCAAGCACCTTCTGCCAGGGCCACAGTAAGTCCAAGCCAGCCTGATGTTCGGGAGCAGCCCTCCCAGGGTGTAACGGGAAATGATGCCCTGCAGACCTGGCTCCAGCACCACCCAGGGCCCCTGCTGCTGCACCCTGAGCTGCCAAACCAAACAGGGGAAACTGAGGCAGAAATAGTAGAGAGAGAGACTGGCATGAAAACCAAACTTCTGCAGCTGGAAGACATTGTCCAGGCTTTTGAGAGAGAAGCAGATTTGAGAGAGAGTGACAGGTATGGGTGCCATTCTTTTTTTTTTTTTTTCTTTTTTAGACAGGTTCTCCCTATGTGGTTCAGGCTGGTCTTAAACTCACTTTGTAGCCCAGACTGATCTTAAACTCACAATAGTCCTCCTGCTTCAGCCTTCCAAGTGCTGGGATTGCAGGTGTGCACCACCATGCCCAGTTTAAAAAACTAATCTTTTGAGACAGGATCTTGCTGAGTCATTTATAAGTTGCCAGGGCTGTCTTGAACTTGCAACCCTCCTGTCTCAGCCTCCCAGAGTTACAGGTTCATGCCAGCACACCAGGCTTGGTCTCCCAGTCTCAGATGTGGACCTGGACCTAACAGGCTACATTGTCAGCAACATTCACGCTCCTTTTCCACCAGCTGTCTCATGTGACTGCAGGTGCCACATGTCTGGTCTAACCATCTGTCCCCACCTCTTGTCCCTCTCAAGGGCAGGAATAGCATGGGGGTTCCATGGTGGTTCCGGGATGGCTATAGCCCTCTGTGTGCTGACCCTGAGAGGTGAATGTGGGGCTGTGGCCTGATCCATGTGTCTGCTGTTGAGACACTGGGCCTGGCAGCTCCTAGGCTGGCTGAGAGTAGCATGGAGCTGCGCTTGGAAGGGCATCTGGGTGCTGTGCCCTGGGCTGGCCTGGGACGTGGGGCACTGAGCACTCTAGCAGCTGGAGATGCTGGTGAAGGTGCCTAGGTGTGAAGCCAGGTGTCTCCAAACCCATTCCTGGGGGACACAGGTGGCATGTACTCTGCCACGCACCCTTCTCCTTGTATATTGGCCTTCTTGGTCCCTGTACAGAGCACTAGGCCTTCACTCCCATGGAAACAGACTGCAGAGGGCGTCACCTTACTGGTCCAGCTGAGGCCATCTGTGATCATGGATCAGTGATGAGAATGTGCTCCTGTGTGCCCATACTCCCTGCCCTAACATCCAGGTCCTGCCACCCTGAAAGCTGCTGTTGAGCTATGACAAAGAAGGTCATGGTGGGCACAGAACTACACACATCCTCTAGGGACTCTGTAGATGTAGTTGGCCTTCTATGAGTGGACACGAAGTGGACACACACCCAGCACATGGGGCACCCCCATCCTATGCTGGCCCAACCCTACCTCCAGCTCTGTCCCAACGTCTTCTAGGTAAGCAGGGAACCCCTGCCTAAGCTCTGTGGCTGCAAGGCCCCCACTGAGCAAGAATCAAGGCCGTTATCAGTGGAGACAGCCAGGCCCAGAGCAGGCAGTGCTGGTGGAGAACAGCCCAGATCCAGTTCCATGTTGCTGTCTCCTGCACCCTGTTTACTTTGTGCTAAATCCTTGGATGTCATCTCAGATGTGTGATGCTTTACTGCCAAATACTTCTGTATGGCATTTTGTAAAAACAGATGTTCTCTGGTAATATTGCTGCCTCTGCAGTATTCCCATCACATAAGGGAACCTGAACACTAACACAGTGGTATTTTCTTTCTTTGGTGGCACTGGGTTTGGGGCCCAGGCCTCGCACATGCTGGCCAGGCACTCACACTGAGCTGCACCTGCCCACAGTGCTGGTGTCCAGTGTGTTCTCCACTTTCAGGTCCCCCTGCCAATCCAGTGTATTCTTTCTGGATCACGCTCTGGCCCCCGGATCCAGCTGAGGATTATGCTATGCATTTAGTTATCTTTTTACTAGTGTCTTTTCAGCTTCAGCTGAAAGACTCTTTTCTCTCTTCCTCTCCCTTTCTCTTTCTCTCTGTCTCCCTCTTCAGTGGCCTAACCCTTCCCACATCACACGGAGCTTGCCCCCTCTCTCCTACTTTGGAGAACTCCGAGGTGACAGGGAGCCCTCCCATGTAGACTCGGCATCCCCTGCCTGTCATGGAATGCACACATAGTTTCTGAGGGGCAGGACTGGGTCTCACAGGCAACCCCTCCCCACCAGAGCCAGGATCTGCCTTCATGTGTGTTTTACACTCTCTTTTCGCTTTTTGCTAAAGTGGTACATACACCTATACCTTTCTGCACTGTGTCTGCAGCAGCCAGAACATGGAGCAGCTCTCCCTTGGGGTGGCCATGTCTGACCTCTGCTGGCAGAGACTAATTTTGCGTGATTTTGTGCTTCTTTACAAGGAAGCATGTGATGCACAGGTACCTGACTCGCTCGACCTGCTGGTGAGATGGGTCCATGTTTTGCTTAAGCTCTCGCACATTCACCTGCACTGCTGGAGGGGTCTGCTGAGCAAATGGACCGTAGTTCACTTCTGCTGATGGACATCATTTCATTTTGGGGCTGTACCACAGTGAATTGAAACGTTGACATTAGTGTGTACCTCAGAGGGGGAGTTGTTGAGTTGTGGGGAAGGGGATGGTGTTCTTTTTGCTTCTCCTGCTTAGAAAACATGTCTGATTGCACACATGGACTGAGGTGTTAGGAAGCTCTCAGTCGGTGCTGTGAAAATTCTGTGTCTCTTGCTGAGCTCTGCAGCCAGGTGTCAGATCTCCTCCTCTTCCAGGTTGTGTCCTCTTTGTCCATGCCACACTTTGGGTGGCTTCTTTCCCTGGATCACCGCTTTCTCACATCACTGACACAGCTGTGTCTCCTTCAGCTGTAAGAGGGCTCAGCACATTCAGAGAATTTTTTATTGATTATCTTGTTTATTTCTAAAAATTCTATGTAATGGTTGAAGTTTACTTTTTGTTGTCCTTTAATTTTATGTAAATATTTAATATTTATGTAAATGTTTCACATTTATAATTTTATGTAAATATTTAATATTTATGTGTCTCATATTTATCTTTAGTTTATCTCAGAAAATTCCAGTATCTGAAGTTCCTAGAGGATCTAATTCTGCTTTTTTTCTTGTTTAATTGTTTTTGTTTCTATTTTGTTTTTATTTTGTATAGCTTTTTCATGTGTGTTTGGATAAGTTTTGACCCTGAGCTCCTGTTTACTTGATGTTACTCTCTGGGAATCTTGGCAGCCTTAATAGGGAATGCTTTTCTGCAGAATGGTTTATATTGCTCTCGGAAAGAACTGGGGAACTGCCCAGCTAGGATCCCTGGAAATTCTTTATGGGCCTGGATGTCCAGGTGCTACTCTGATTTGATAGAATTGTGCTTTTTTTTTTTTTTTTGCAATACTGGGAATGGAACCCAGGGCCTCATACCTGCTAAACAAATGCTGTACCACCAAGGTACTATCTCCTCAGCCCTTTTTCAGTTTTATTTTGAGCCAGACATGGTGGCATGCACCTGTAATCCAGTACTTGGGGAGGCTGAGACAGGAGGGTTGTTGCAAATTCAAGGTCAACCTGAGCTATATGGCAAGAAAATTTTTTTTAGAGACAGGGTCTTCCTGAATTTCCTAGGCTAGTCTTAAACTTGTCTCAGTCCCCTAAGTAACTGGGACTACAGACATGTGGCACCATGCCTGGCTGCAGAATCCAGAGCAGGTGATCAGAAAATAAGTGTTTGTGGTGCAGCTGAGCATGGGGCTGGAAGCCTGTAGCCCCTGGGCTCCTGGCGGTAACCCACTATGGCTGTCTGTACTTCATTCTGGGACCCCCCGTATTTCATTCCCCTGCTTGAAACTATTTGCTGCTTTTAAAATTCCAATGTCTTGTATATTTTTATTTTTTCTTTATTTTCTCAAGAATTAAAGGAAGTTATATGAAGGAGACATGTACACTTAGTATAAGTACAGTACATAAAATGAACATGAAGAAATCGTGTGGCTTTAGGATTTTTTAGCTTAAAAAACTGAGAAAGTAAAGCCAAATAGAGACCAGTGGGTGGAAGGTGTAAATGTCATTTAGGCCCACTTTAAGAATAAGTGCTTTGATGCCAGGACTGGTGGTGCACACTTGTAATCCCAGCACTTGGGAGGCGGAGGCAGGAAGATCACCATGAATTTGAGGCCAGCCTGGGTTTACATAGTAAACTCAAGCCAGCCTGAATTACACATGAGATCCTGGCTCAAAAAAATTAGAATTAAAAAGTATAAATGTTCTGGAACCATGAATGGGCCTCATGTGGCCTCACTAGTGATCTGCACTCGGCATCTGCACCGGGTGACAGATTTGCAGACCAGAATTGTCAAAAGGCAGAGCAGCTTCCAGGCACACCACACGGTGGCTGCTCAGTGCTGCTTCTGCCTTGGTGAGGACACCTTATGTTTCTAGGTGATAAGGCCCCTTCCTCAGTTTCCCCTCCCCAATTGACCATGAATTCTGGCTCCACTGCACTCTGTGGCAGGAGGAGGACACCCCAGCATTCAGTGGGTGTGGGCTGCAGGGTCGCAGGGTGCAGGGGCAGGATAACAGAGCCCAGGTGCTGGACCATGGTGAGTTACCACCAGCATGCAGTTCAGAGGCTGCAATAACCATGCTTCCTGGGGCAGAGCCAGAGTATAGTGGAGGAGAGGAAGGCATGTCTGCCACCTTTGGGGAATGGGACTAGTGCAGTGCTCAGAGCCATGCCAAGCCTCCCTGAACTTTCCCAACTTTGCAGAGTGGAGCTCCAGAGGCTTTCTGCAGCAAACAGTTTGTTGAAAAGTGATCTGGAGAGGATTCAACAGGAGCTTGGAGCTGCAGAGCACATGAGCAACCAGCAAAGGTAAGGCCCATCTCCTGGGGCCACCTGGACCGGTGGGTCTGTGACATGCAGGGAGTAGCAGATCCACCTTCAGTCCAGAGGCTGGTGATAAAACCTGAGCCAGCCCAGCTTCCTCCCAAAGAGCATGTGCACAGGATCACAAGCAGATGTAGCCTGGCCAGCACCAGACCCAGCCCTACAGGGACCCTAGCTGCAACTTGGGATGGGCAGTGTTTTGTGGGAGCAGGAGTGCTGCTGGGGCCCCTCAGTGAGCAGTCTGCTTATTTATGTCCTAGTAATGGTCCAGCAGTACTGTCCCCCAAGGTCATTGGCAGGGTGGCTGTGCTGGGTCGTCTGGGCAGAGGGGCTGAGGCTGCATGTGGTGCAGTGGGCAGGGACCTGCACCACAGAAGTGGCATGTCTTGGGGGTGGTTTTCTAGTCGCTGCTGCCGCCTCCAGGGACAGTTTGCCTTTTTGTTAATTGCCTGTTTCAAGACGAGCTCAGGTCTGAATGCTGAGGCTGTGGTTCTAATGGGACAGAACTACAGCAGTGTTTATAGAGTCAGCACTGTCACTGTCACATTTCAGCAACTCCACAGGGCAACGGGAACCACCCTCCCCCAGAGCGCACTGGGCCTTCCAAGCAGCAGCCTCAGCAGATGGGAGGCCACATGGTCTTCGTGCTGCTGCCAGGAAGAGCTGCTGGTTTTGTGAAAAAGAAAACAAGCCTGTGTAACTCTGTGACCAACAAACATCACACAGGGGTCTGTCCTTCCAGTGCTGCCAGTGTAGTGCTTCTGTCCTAATCCACAGTGTTACAGCTCTGCATCCCTGGTTTGGGGTTGGCCAGCTCCCCAAATGATGGGGATGCACACTGGGATGTGTTGTTTTTGGTGAGGTTTATATTATTTTTAAGTGTAGCTTACTTTTCAGGTGGTACATCTGTCAGACGCTCCTGCTGCACACCGTGAGCAGTGCTGACACAGGCATCTGGGCAGGCAGAGCCCAGTCTGTCTGTGGTTCAGATCCAAGCTGCTGTGGCCTGACAGGTGACAGCCAGGAAGAAGGGTGCCAAGCTGATGACACTGTTGTTTGTGCTTCTTCAACAGGCGGGAGATCGAGGTCCTGAAGAGAGACAAGGAGAAGGCCTGCTCAGAAATGGACGAGCTCAGCATCCAGGTCAGGTGTTGACCCTGGTGTGACCCAGTGCCACCCCCCACCCCATTTCCCACTTACAAAAAAGGAAGTGGCAAACTTTCCCTCACAAGATCCCGGAGTGAGTTGCCAGCCCCAGCTCGCCTCAGAGCTGGGGACTCGGCTTGGGAGTGAAGGCCTTCTTGTGCCATCTGCCAGTATATGCATCCCTGGATCACTTGCCACTGTTCTGTACGTATGAAATTATTTCCAAACAGACTTTAACTACTCAGATTGAATAGAAGGAGATCAACTAGTTTATCCATACCAATTGTAGGAATCCAAGGAAGGTTTCATTTTGTTTCTATTAATGTCCTCAGGGAGCAAGGTGTACATGAATCAACATTGATTTTTACCAAAAACTGTGGTAAACATGAGACAGAATTGCCAGGAGCTCCTAAATATGGACTCCTGCGATTCTGGGGAAGGGAAAAACTACAATTCTCAGAGAACTTGCCAACCTGGAACAAACCCAAACTGAAGCACCTTCGGGGACCTCTCTGTGTTTACCAAACCTGCAGAGCCAGGACAGTGTTAGCCCCCTTCTTGGAACGTGCACTGCCCCCAGTGCTGAACTTCAGGGGCTGAGGCCCTTGGTGCTGCTGGAACCCTCACCCCACAGCTGACCACAGTAGTAAAAGCAAGTAGGCAAAAACGCTGTTTGTGTGAGGACAGCAATGGCAGGAAGTAGAGAAAGCTGGAATTTCTGCAGTGAGAGGCTTGGAGCCAACCTCCCACTGCCACTTGTCCAGGGGTCTTCCTGTGTCCTCATTGACCCTTGGGAGTTTGCTGACAACCTTCTGGCTCTGACCAGCAGTGGCTGTGAGCAAAGTGAAGCATTCCATTCAGTGGACACAGGCTGCCTGCCGAAAGCTTTTGTATTTCCAGTGACAAAGAGCAGGGGAGATTTTGAAGAGCTCATCATGCTTTGGGTTTAAGTCAGTTGTTTTTAAACTTTAAATAGAAATGCTTTAGAAGTAACCAACAGGGAAATGAGACAGGTGTGAATGGTCTTCAGCAGGGTAGACTGTGGGCATGCATAAGGCCCTGGTGGGGCCTTCTGGGGACCAGCAGGGCTCTGGTCCTTGCATTCCTGACATTGGGGCTGGGTCAGGTCTGTCCTGCAGGGTGCCGGGCACCCCATCTCCCTATGTTAGTACCTTTCCCAGAGGTATGACAAACCCGGACCCTGCAAGTACTTCAGGAAGCAAAACTGTCCCTGTTTGGGAACTGCTGGGATGATAGGAATGTAGCTGCCGGTGTAAAAGCTTTTCTCAATCTGTTGTAACCTTTTTTGCTGTAGAATCAGAAATACAAGAATGAAGTCTTGCAGCTAAACTGCAGGGTCCTGCAGCTGGAAGGGGTTGCTTCTGCCCATCAGGCCCAGAATGAGGAGAACCTTGCAACTGCTCAGCTGTTAACCCAGAGGCTGCAGGAGGCATCGCGACAAGAGGAGCAGCAGGTGAGGGCAGTCAGTCATGGGGCAGATGATGAGGCCCAACCCCTGTGGCCTCAGGGGGCGTTCCAGCTGGGGAGTACTCCACTGGAAAAAGCAACTCTGCACACAACCCAGTGTGCCTGGACAAGTGGAATGGCACTGAGCCCCAAGGAAATACCCATGCAGGGACAAGAGACAGAGTTTGTGAAGCCCCTCTTCTTGTGGGTCTTTGATTACAGCAACACAAAGAAAGGTCAGATTCAGCAGACCAGATGTCATCACATTACAGTTCGTTAAGGAAAACATTAAAATGGTATTTAAATAAGGCCAGCATGGACTACATAGTGAGTTCAAGCTTACCCTGAACTACACTGTGAGATTTTGTCTCAAAAAAACAAGACAAAAATCAAAAAACTAAAATGGTATTTTAAAAATTGTAATACAGCTAATTTGTGGTATACCAGTTGTAAATGCATATTATAGATACCAGCAAGGGGGCATTTGTAAGATTGCCATGTTAAAATTTATTTATCTTTTTAAGACAGAGTATCACTATGCAGTTCAGGCTGGCTTTGAACTCATTTTGTAGTCCAGGCTGGTCTAGAACTTGTAATGATTCTCTTGCCTCAGCCTCCCAGGTGCTAGTATTACAGGCATGTGCCACCACACTTGGCTGCTTCCATGTTAAAATTTAGAGAATTTTTAACATATAAAGAAATGCCATGGGAATTTCAATGTATTAAAATAAATAATATTGGTTATTATAATTTTTAATCTGTATAAATAATATTAATATTTATATTTGAGTAATAATTATTCAAATTCAATTAGCTGACTAGATTAGGCCCATTTATAGACTTTATTAATTTTATTAACAAAAAGACAGGTAAAAATAATTATATGCATTTGTACCACCAGTGGTACAAAGTGCCCAATTGGACAGTCATGTATGTGTGTTTCAAGCCAGGATGATCAAATTCAGAGCCTCCCAGGAGCAAGACACGAATTCCACTCCACAATGAGCTTGTTAAGAGTAGCAGCAAATGATAGGGCCCATTAGCCATGGGCTAGACAGGAGCTCATCCCACGGTCAGGATGGCAGGCCAGATAGGAGAGGGGCGCTGGTTGGTAGGAAGGCGACCTCCAATTTGCAGGGTGGGATGTCCTTTCCATGGTTTCTGCTCCATGCCTGGTCACCATCGCAAGGAGGTTTTGCAGAACAGGTACACAGCAGTGATGTGGTGAGCTGGCTTTGTCCCATACTGAGCAGCACCACATGGGACAGGTGACCAGCATAAAGTGGGTGGCGGCTCCTACAGGGCCCCAGATTATGCTTATCTGGAGAGTCAGGGGCAAGTCTTGGGGATGCAAAAGGGGCACTTCAGGAACGTGGTGCTAAGTGACCCAGTGTTTCTCAGGGGTAATGCAGTTGCACAAGGGAGTTAAGTGCTGATGTGGCAATGGGGAACAAGTGTAAGTGCTTCAGGGGACAGTTCACCAAAATGAGTTGAGCCTCAGGAATATCCCTGTTTCCTCATGGGAGCCGTACCTGAGAACACTGTCGCGACTCTTAGTGGAACTATTTCATCATCATGCTGTTTACAGTGCTAACAGGCCTGAATCTATGGGAACTGTGAGCAGTAAATGATCAATAACTATAGTGCAGACACAGCTCTCCAGTGCCATCTGCTTTCTGGGGGCTGCAGTCAGGGTACAGGGCAGCCCAGGGCCCTGTGTGTCCTGGGAAATGCACAGCAGGCTGTCAGATGGGGTCGGGTGCCCTGAAGACTTAAGTTTTGCTGCATTTAATTTCTGTAATATCCTGAAGGTGAGACCAGCACAGTTAGGGCTGACAGAGGATCAAGAGGAGGGCCGGACCCAGGTGGGTGTGCATGGTGGCTGAAGGCACTTGGCCAGGCCTGGGCAGCCCTGGAGGCTGAGGGCATGGAGTAGGTCAGTCATATGTCCCTTTCCATGGGCCATGTGGCTGCACTGTGCCTGTCTGGTGGGCTGATTGCCACTGTGGCAGAGGGGTCTCAGGAGAATCAGGGTGAAGTTACCAGGCCTGTCAGGGCATCAAGGAAGCTGTTCTGCAAGAAGCCCAGGTCAGAGTGATGGATGCAGGTTTAGAGCTGGCCTCAGCTGCTTAGGAGAGAGTGTCAGCTGAGTGAGGCTTGGGTGGGTGAGGCTGGTGGCTGCAGCAGGCCCTGTGCTCCTGGGCCCAGCCCTCTAGGTTTGCAGTTGGTCATACTGTGCCCTGATCAGGGCTGTCAGAAATGCTGTGTACCGCTGGCCTGCATGACACCATTTGCACAGGTAGAAAGTTACTCATGGTTACTCTCAAGATTTTACATTTTGGCCAGTTTTCATTGGGAATTAAACCTTGGGCTGGGGATAGAACTGTGGTACAGGCATCTGCCTGGCAAGCGCAAGGTCCTGAGTTCGACTCCCGGTACCAAAAAAACCCCAAAATACATCTTAAGTAAGTGAGCCGTGGGTGACTCTTGCAACATAAGTATGGAACCTTCTGTGACAGGAGGAGGAGCCACGGGACACCATGGAAGGGCAAGCAGGTGAGATGGAGCAGCTCCTGCAGAAGCTGGACTGGGTGAGTGGCCACACCTCTGAACCTCTGAGTCTCCTCCCCCGGGGCCCTGAGTGTCCTGTTTCCATGTGGGCCTGCCACCTCGGGGGTCTAAACTTCAACCAGAGCAAGCCAGTTCCTTCAGATTAATAACTGGGACAACCTGCAGAAGACTCAGCATACCAAGGGCTCTCCCACTGTGTCAGGTACCGTGTCTCTGGGGAACCATTTTGGACCTTAGAGGAAAACCCAGCACTGGCTCATTCAGGGCTGGTCAGTCATGAACAGACATGCAGCTCTGGCTGTGAGTCAGGGTACCACTCTGGGTAGGGGCAAGCCTCTGTAAGGCAGGAGACTGGCTAGGGTAGCAGTAGGAGTGGAGGAAGTAGGACAGGCGGGTGGCCAAGAAATAGCATGAGAGCCAGAAACCCATGACTCTGTGGGAATGCCCAGCTGTGTCCCCAGCAGAAGGGTGGCCCTTGACCCTATCTCTTTTTCTCCCAAGGGCCTTGTGCATACTTGGCAAGTGCTTTATCACCTAGCTACACTCCAACAACTTGGCTCCTTGTAAACCTTTTTGGAGACAAGGTCTTACTAAGTCACTAAGCTGCCCAGGCAGAGTTAAACTTGCAGTTCTTCTGCCTCGGCCTCCAGAGGTGCTCAGATTATGGGTGTTGCCAGCACATCCTGCTTGCCATTGTGTTTAGTCTGTGTCAGCTCCCTGAAAACCTTACAGTTGGGACAGATGGGTGTGTGTGTGTGCAGTGGGCAGGCGGGTAGGCCACTTTCGTGGCACTTGTGCAGGTTTTCAATGTAAACATGGCTCTCCCCTAGCTGGAGAAGAGTGCCAGATCGGGCCTGCTGCTGAAGGAGCTCTATGTGGAAAACGCTCAGCTCACAAAGGCCCTTCAGGTTGCCGAGCAAAAGCAGTGGGGTGCTGAAAAGCAAAACCGCATCTTGGAGGAGAAAGTCCACGCCCTCGGCACACTGATCAGCAAGCTTGCGCCAGCATCTCTGTCTGTGTAGCTGCTTGCCTTCCCAGATGTCAGCTTAGGGAAGATCTTGTGACTATGCAGGAGTGCAGTGATGCCCAGCCATTCCGGAGGCCAGCAAATACACATGGGCAGCAGCCATACCCTCGTCAGTGGTTCTGGACTCTTCCCCATCAGCTCCTGGTTCCCTGTGAGGCAGCTCTGGGGCTCAACAGAGAGCAACGAAGAGAAATGGTGAAACGCTCAGTGCTGTGTTCTCATCTGGACAGTGTGGAGGCAGGGCTCAGATCGGGCCACAAGCTCCAGTGGCTCCCCAAACTGCATCCAGCACTGGGAGGGACCAAAGCCCCTTGAGGGACTGTAGCGTGTCCAGCAGGGCTGGTCTGACTGATGCCTGCACACTCAGGGACGATGGTGCATTGCAGATACAGTCATTTCCTCATTGAAATGTCCTCACACTGGAAAGTGCACATGTGTAAAAAAAGTATAGTTTTGTGTCTGAAATATACATATATTGTGGTCACTGGTTTAGCAGAATGTACTACTTTAATGTGAAATTACTGTATTTTGACATCAGTTCTTTTTTATTAAAACTGACTTAATTTTTTGAAATTATAAAATGTTAGTTGGATGTGATGATGCATACCTATAATTCCAGAAATATTCAGGAAGCTGAGGCAAGAGGATCACTATGAGTTTGAGGCCCTTCTGGGCTATACAGTCAGTTCAAGGCCAGCCTGAACTACAAAAGGGAGACTGTCTCAAAACAAAACAAACTTGTAAAATATTTCAAGCATGCAGAAAAAGTGTTTTATTTTGTTTCACAGTAATAGGGATTGAACTCAGGGAGCCCTAAACAAATCTCCAGCCCTTTCATCTTTTTGAGACAAGAGTTTTTTTTGGCTTCAAACTTGTGTCCTCCTCGCTCAGTCTCCCAAGTGACAGGGACTACAGTGAGCACCACCACTCCTGGTGGAGAAAGAGTTTTGGGAGAAGCATTCCTGTGCTCACACACTGGATGTATCTGAAATAACCTGTGGGAACTATATCCAGAGGCAGGGGGCCTGAGGCTCCTGGGAGAGAACCTGTCTTGTCCCAGGCAGCCCAGCCCAGTGCTGGCTGTGTATGCTGGCAGGAAAAGAAGCTTCACAGCACTGAGATCTCACAGCATAAAAGACAGTAGAAAGATTGGTTTGAAGACAGAGTCTCAGCCACATACAGCTGAAGAGTACTGAGTTCACTGATAAATGTATATTCCCAGTAAAAAGACAAGCAGGTGTTCCCGCCTCATAAGCCCCTTACCCTAGAAGTGAACACAACAGTCCTAACATTCACAGGTGCAACTGGACACACAAACAAGACAGTTGCTAAAACTAAAAAGAAAAGCACTGAGCGGGGCCACTTCTAGTGTTATTAAGATGCTATTTGTCATGCAGCTATAATGGGCTTCATCTGTCAAGACACACAGGGTGCATGCCTTCACTTGGACAGGAATGACAGAAAATCGCACCACACACCACCCAGGCAAAAAAGTGCACTTGGAGGTGTGCCAGGGGCCTTGCTGACAGAAGTTTCAAACACTTAAAAAGATGCAAGTCATATAAAATACATTCTGTGCCTTATATAATGGATTATATTTTAAAAAACGAACAGAATGTTGTCTGGAAAATTCTGAGGAACATACTAACTCCATGGAGCCAAGAAGAAATCAAGGTGAAATTAGAAAATTTTTGAACTGACAGGAAATGAAAGCAGTGTACCCAAACCTGTAGTGGATTCAAAGCATTGCTTAGGGGAAAATTCATAGCACCCATCCGAGTTACTTTTTAGCTGCTGGAACTCAGCACCTAACACTCACAGACAAAAGAGGAAAGGTCCATCTGGTCATGGTTCCAGTCCACACTCAGCTGGCTGCAATGCAGAAATGGCAGTGGCCAGCACCGGGGAAGGCTGCTCACATGGCAGCGGCCAGGAAGCAGCCTGTAAGTCACCGCCCAGTCACTCACATCACCTTCTATTCCCAACTCCTCAATGGATGAATCTTTTGATGAATTGAGTGCCCCTGTTCCAGTCGGCTTACACAACCTGAGATCTGGGGGATGTTCTAGATCTAAACCATAACACTACTAAACAGTTCTATTAAAAAAGAAGAAAGGCTGAAGGGAGACAGGGAGTGAAATGGGAAAAAAGCAGTAGCAAGATATACCATGTACAGGTGCAAATTCCCTTTGATGAACGCTATCACTAAGTACATCTAAAATGTACCATTAAAACAAACAAACAAACAAACAAACAAAAAGGTTGGACCTGGTAGTGCATATCTTTAATCTGAGCTACTCAGAAAGTTGAGGCAGAGTATCCCAAGTTCAAGGCCAACTTATCTCAAAAAATGTTTTTAAAAAGTTCTAGAGATGTAGCTCAGTGGAAGAGTGCTTGCCTAGCATGTGTGAGCCCCTGTACTAAAAGAAAGGTCTCGAGTAGGTGACCTCGGCTTCTCCCATAAGTAACTGGAAAGAAAAGCAAATGAAGCCTAAAGGAAAAAGAAAGGGAAATAGTGAAGATTATTGCAGGAGTAAGGAGCAGATAGCATTAGTGTCCACAGTATGCAGGCTGGGCCCAGCCCTGTGGCTTGCTCTGATAGCGAGGCACAGCCACACTCACTCAGGGGCCTGCTGTGTCCAGGCTCTGGAGAGGCATGCTGTCCAGACACAACTGAGAAGGCACAGGGAAACCAGCGGACTATAGGCTGGTTCTCTCTGAGATTAATAATAAAATTGATAGGTATCTGGTCAGGTGGGCCAGGATAAAAGAGAAACGCATCTGCCAGAAACTCAAATAGGTAACATCATCAAGGAGTTCACAGATACTAAGTGTAATACACTGATGTGAACAACTTTATGCCTGTAACTTTTTAACAACTTAGGTAAAGTGGAGAAGACATATATCACCAATGCTTTTGAAAGAAAAACTGGATAATCTGAATAGCCGTATATCTATTAACATAATTTAAATTGAGGTTACACATCTCAAAGAGACTCCAGGCCCAGCTAGACTAAATGTGATTCTATTAAACATTTAAGGAAGAAATAATACCAAACATAATAATACCAAAACAATGAAGAGAAGTATTTCACAGCTTATTCTATAAGCACACTGGACACTGTAAGACTATAGACCAGTATACCATGATAAGAAGATGGATGCAAAAACTTAAAACAATATTTTCAAGTAAGATGCAACCAAAAACAATTGACCAAGTGGGATTTCTGGCAGGAATACAGAGTTGGCTTAACCTCAGGAAATCAACTAATCAGCCACCCAGTTCACCCCAGTTGCAAACTAAAGGACAAAAACATCTTGTCAATAGATCCAAGAATTGATATGATGAAGTCCAACGTCCATTCCTGACTTTGTACAAAATGCAATAAACTAGAAGCAAGTAAACCTTTCACCCTGATGAAAGAAAGCATCTTCAAGGCCTCAGGAGTGAATGCACCCATGGTGAAAGGCTGAATGCCTTCATCCTGAGATCACATTTTTATCCCACACTTTTAGTCAAACTACTGCAATCAGGCAAGAGAGGGAAGAAGCATCCAGATGATAGAGGGGATTAAAACTCTTCATGGAAAGCATGACTGGGTATAGAAAGATGATACAGTTTACAGAAAAACCATGAGAAGGAGTGAGTTTAGCAAGGCTGCCAGGTACAAATTCAACATCAAATGCATCTCTATTTATGGACAAGTTGTTAGCATTTGAAATTTCAAAATAACATTTGTCAGAACTATGAAATACTGTCAGGTCTTCTTAAACCTATACACTGAGGACTACAAAATACTGAGAGAAATGGCAGACAAAGGGAGGGTACACCTTGCTTTGAGGACAAGAGTCAATTCTGTTGAAATGTCACTTTACTCCCCACTCATACAGATTCAGTGCAAGGCTAATCTAATGCCAGCAGGAGTTTTTCTTTGTTTATGTTTGGGAAGAATTGACAAGCTGACTCTATTCAATATGAAAAGCAAAGTATTAAGCAGAGCCTAAACAAATCTGAAAAAGACATGTGAAGAATTAACATACCTATGTCAAAATTATCTGTGGCATATGATGCAGATAACACAGTACTGATGTCAGGGAAGGAAACAAAAGACAAATAGGTCAGGGAACAGAACTATGAGTCCACAATTAGTCAAGTGTTATGGGGCACACCTGTAATCCCAGCACTGGGCAGGCTGAGGCAGGATTGCTGTGAGGCTAGCCTGCATTGCATAGTGAGACCCTATTTCAAAAAAACCAACTAGCCTAGAAGTAACCCACATATACACAGTAACTAATTTTGTTTTAGTAGTAAGAATGGAGCCCAGGGCCTCATGCATGCTAGACAAACACCCTACCATTGAGCTATTTCTGCAGCCCTTTTAAAATTTTTATTTTGAGACTGAGTTTTGATATGTTACCCAAATTCAAAGTTTTTACCAAAAATCAGGTATGGTGGTACATACCTGTAATCCCAGCTCTGAAAGGCTGAAGTGGAAGAATCACAAATTTGACACCAGTCTGGGCAATTCAGCAAGACTTTGTCTCAAAATAAAAAATGATCTGAGATGTATCTTAGCAGCAGAGTGCCCTTGGATTTGTTCCCCAGTACTGTGAGATAAAAATAATTTAATAAGGATAGCAGGGCAGAGAGAATAGCCTTTTCAATAGATGGTCCTGCAGATACACCCAAGGAAGGGAGTGAATGTAGAATCTTGCCTTGCACTGCATATGGAAATCACCTCAAATGGGTCTAGCTTAAGTATAAAACCCATCACTTAGGGAGGAGAAAAGGAAACAAAGTGTGAGCTGAGGTGGAAAAGACTTCACAGATAACCCCAAAAGTACTGGAGAAGCAGGCAGGGTGGTGCCACCTGTAATCCCAGCACCCAGCAGCTTAGTAAACTAAGGTAAGAGGTTTCCAAGTTCAAGCCTAACCTGGGCAACTTAGCTACTCAGACATCACATCTCAGAAATTTGAAAAAAAGAAAAGGACTGGAGATGTAAGTTGGTACAAAGACTGAGTTCAGTCCCCATACCAGAAAAAAAAAAGTTTAAAAAGAAAGCAAATAGGATCTCACTAAAATTAAAAAATGTCTGTTCTTTAAAGAAACTGCAAACTGAGCGTGGCACATACCTATAATCTCAGCACTTGGGAGGCTGAGGCAGGAGGGTTGACATGAGTTCAAGACCAGTCTGGGCCTCATAGTGTGTTCAAGGCCAGCCTGTACTACACAGCAAGACCCTGTCTCAAAAAACGAAGAAACTACAGGCTGACCTGGGTGAGACTTTGCATCCCAGTAATCCTAGCACTCTCGGAGGATGAGGCAGGATTGGAAGTTTAAACCCAGCCAGGGCAACTTAGCAAGACCCTGTCTTGAATCTAAAAACTAAACAAAAAGGGCTGGGGATGTTGCTCAGTTAAAGGATTTGGGTTCAATCCCCAGTATAGTGAGAGGGAGGGAGAGAACAAAGATACACCAGCCTCTGAACTGGCAAGCTGGGCTGGGAAGCCTGCACAGAGCACACATCTCACAGAGGAATCGGATCTGGAATCTATGAAGAACCCTCAAAACTCAGGGGGACCAGAGCCCTGACACCAAATCCAGCAGCTACCTCAGGGGACCCTGGGGATAGGCTGTGGCAGGCTGCTCAGTCCAGTGTCACACCTGGCCTTCCAGACAGCCACACTCAACACCAAGGGGGCCCTGAGAACCACCTGCTGGAGCGCATGAGTTAGAGAGAGAGAGCCATCAAACAGCCACCATCAGGAGCACCTGTGCTAGAGGCCCCCCCAGCCTCTGTGGCCCATCTGGGAACCCCAGCCCAGATGTCCCAGCCATACCCAGACTTGATTCAGTGTGAAGTGGCTGGAGCTATATGCAGGATTTCTGGGTAGACAGCCCAAAGCACTGCTGATGAGCATAGACATGTGTGCACAGCCCCCCTCCAGGCACTAGGGATCAGTGCCGCACACAGATGCAAAACTACTCCTGCAGCACGCTCAATGGAGGTTAGTCCAGGAATGCAAGAGTTCCAAAGCGAGGTCTAATTCTGTAGCGCACACCTTTAGGGAGAGAAATGAGCAACACAGTCAGCACTCTGGTTGCAGACACGTTCCTCGGAAAACCGTGCTTCTCAAGACACTGTGGTTTTGTTTTGTTATGTTACCAAATTTACTTTGAGGATGTACTGAGAGAAGCCACTGCTTTGATTTTTTCCCCGATGAAATATGGGCAAGGAAGGAGATGAAAAAATGAATTAAGATGTGTGAAGACCCTGCAATCATGTACTGCAAAATGCACCAATAAAAATGAAAATTAAAAGCCAAAGCCCACAGACAAGGCTGAGAATGCAGGGTGATACCCAGGGAGTCATCCTCAGAGCTGCTGGCAGCAGAACCAACGTGGAAATAGGGCTTACATAAAATTAGAATGTGGCCAAGTCATCATAATCTTCATCATGCTTACACTTACCAGCTAACGCCAGCTTAAAAATATCAAAGAGGGGCTGGGGATTTAGCTCAGCAGCGTAAGCACCTGCCTTGCAAGCTCACACTCATGAGTTCGATCCCCAGTACCAATTAAAAAATATAAAAATATTAAAGAGGCACAAAACTAGGAAATAATTGGTAAAACATTTTTAAGACAGAGGTTTGTATCCACCTGTGAGTCAGCTAACCCTGGGCCCGCCAGATGGCAGTAATTAGTAAAGGGAAAGGAACTTACCTTCATTTTCTACATCAGACTTTGCACTTTTGTTTGAACATACATTTGTGTGTGTGTGTGTGTGTGGTGGTGGTGGTGGTGGTGGTGGTGGTGGTGGTGGTGGTGGTACCATGACAGGCTCTCACTGTGTAACCCAGCATAACTACATAGCCCTTAAACTCATCACCCTCCTGCCTCAGCCTCCTGAATGCTGGGATATCAGGTCTGTGCTACCATACCTGACTGATATATTACCTTTATGATAAGAAAATGTCATGTTTAAAATTCTAGCCACAACTCTAAATAAAAACCCAATCACTATAAATTGATACAAACTCCACCATTTCAAATTTTTAGCTAGTATACATTCATTTCAAATGGAGACTGAGACTGGGGTTAAATGGGGGTGGTTGGCTTTGTGTCGTTGCAGGCAGGGCAGGGAGGCCAAGGTGCAGAAGTTATGGCAGTCAGGCTCAGCACTCTGCGGGGCATGGTCATGACAGCACATGCTCCAGGACTCCCTGTCTGATCAGCTGCTCACACTTCCATCGAGGCAGAAAGTGCTGAGGAAAAAGGGGGAAGAGTCAGTAACCAAGACTTCCATTTCCCTGCCATCATTAAAAAGAAGTAGATAGCTAAGCAGTTCAAGTTCAGCTTGATCGTATTTGCTGTTACGATCAGCTGAAACTGATGCTCTGAGTGTCACCTGGAATTATTACTTTCATAAATGAATTCAGTTTGCTGACGTTAAATTCATCTGGAGACCTCTGGATTCCGATAGGCACTTCCCACAGGATCTGCATTTCTCGATCCATACATGACACACCCAGAAGGGCGAGGTGGGCACACAGGTTACCGAGAGCAGAGCAGCCCTGGGAGACTGCCCAGAGCACATTCACCTGGAACTCTCTTGTAGCACAACAGCAGCCACCTCGCTTTTGTGCTCCTGAAGCATTAAAGGTACAGGACTCCCAAGGATGAGAGCAATGCTGTATGTGACAATGCCAGCAGCCATCCTGTGTTCCCAAGGAGGACCCCTGAGACTAAATGGAAGGCGGTCTCCTTCCTTCACCAAAGTGAGGGTTTCGTGTACAGTGAAAGGAGTAGGAAGCAGGGAGGTACACAGGAGCTCGGAGATGTTCAAACTCAGAAGGATGTAACTGGGTAAAAACTAGAATTAGGACATTATAAATGGAGGCAGATAACCTTAGAAAATAATCTCAGTGGGAGGCATTATCAAAACTATTCAATCCAGCTGAAGCTGACACAGAGGATAGCAAGTTCAAGCAAAGCTAGGCAGTGTAGTAACTTGGCAAGCTGCTGCCTCATATTTTTTTAAAAAAATTAAAATAGGGCCAGAGATATAGCTCAGCACACAGCACCAGCCTGGCAAGCACAAGGTCCTGAGTTCGATTTCCAGTACCAAAAAACAAAAAACAAGACAGGATACATCCCCAGTATTATGACCCTGATTTCAACCCCTAGTACCTCAAAATTCAAGCAGCAAAATGTGCACAACCCTGCACTTGGAGATCCTGCCTCACAAACCCAAAGGCCTTATAAAGACTGGGACCAAATTCTACATGAGTCATAAAGACACCCAAGCCGAGAACTATCAACTATCTCACTGACCTCCAAACCATGCATTTAACAGCTTTTCTAGTGCTGTTATTTAAATAGAGAGGGTTCCTTAATAGTCACTCTAATGTGTTACTTACGAGAGGAGGAGTCATTTCTCTTCATACTGCTTTGCTGCCTGGTATTAAAGAACACGTGTTAGGCAAAGGCCTCCACTAATGCCTGCATTTTGGGGACTGTCTACACTGCAGGCTGCAGTCAGGGTCAGCTCTGCTCAGACACTTCAGAAGCCCGAAGTATCAAATATGGTAGTTGATGACAGGTTTAAGATACAGTGATTAAGTTCTCATTTTAGTGCCTTCGTTTCTGTGTGTGAGAGCAAGTGACAATCCAGACACAAAACTGAAAGCACCCCCAGAGAAACCCTGTCCGGGGGCCACGCAGGGGTGAGGGAGCAGGCTCTGCTGGAGAAAGAGGGCCACGCATCCTGCAGACCACAGCCCTCCTGTGAGCCGTGGCTTCTCAATGGGTGCTCAGAACCCAGCTTTCCAGAGCTCAATCCTCACCACCCTACATCCTGCTCTCCTGCTGTGAGGACGCCACTGCCTTCAGGAGACCCTCAAAACCTGTTATTAGAACAGTCAATGTTTGTTTGAAGAAGCAAAAGCTACTAGAGTAATAGTGAAATAGGAAACCATGAACCACATGGGCTGAAACCTTGCTCTGTGGTGTAAAAAATTTTTGAGAAGCATATAGCAGTTTACCAGGCAGAATTTAAAATATACACTCAAAGAAAATACAATGTAACCCTCAAGAGAAAAGTGATTAAAAATAAATTTAGCCAATGTGAATCCACCTAATCTGCATCTGAAAATGGCTAAGGAAATATTCTTTATAAGGAAAAATTAGCTCAAGCTACAACTTTTTAATATCAACACCCCCATATGATGGTATACTTAGAAATTCTTGATCTATATCACCATTGTTTTATTTATTTATTTATTTTTAGCTTTTTTCAGACAGGGTTTCACTATGCAGTTCAGGCTGGTCTTGTACTCATTTTGCAGCCCAGGCTGCCTCAACTTTGCAGCCATCTTCCTGCCTCAGCCTCCCCAGTGCTGGGATCCCAGGTGTGTGCCACCATGCTATGCTCACCACTGTTTTCTAACAGTTAGATTAAAGGTGAAGCACAAGCTGAAAAAGATTGCTTAGGAACCCTTTTCTAAATTGTAATTTAGGGACAGGTACTAAACCCAACATATCATAAGTCTCAGAATAATGTTCTACCACTTAACTAGAGCAAGGCCCATTATGAAAATTTCTGTGGAAAATATCTACTATCAAATATAAGCAACATCCTAGTAAATTAATAAACCTTTTCTACCACATGATATACCCACCAAGAGTCAACATTTGGAAAAGCACATGTCCTGTACTAAATACAATGCCTATGACGTGGTCATCAAAGGCAGCAGTGACTTCGCCTCTCACCCCAACATCTCCATTCTACATTCTTACAAGGTTTAAACTAAAGTATTTGGTGACAAGAAATACCTGGCTATTTTTTTTTAACAGGACGGAAGTGCCATCATCAACTTCAAATTCTCCATAGTCTTTCAGACACCGCACCTGAAAGGAAAATCTGGTTTTTTATCTTTTTTTCAGACACAGTCTTGCTGCACTGCCAGGCAGGTGCCAAACTCAGTGACCTCTTTGCCTTCGTCTTCAAGTAGCTGGACAGGCCTATGGCAGGCTGTAACTTAAATCTTACTTTCAGGATACACACAAAGTGTCTCTCTGACTACAGTGAACTTTGCAATGATTTATTGGATATGGACCCAAAGGCACAAGCAACAAAAGGGAACACACAAATAAGACTGCATGAAATTTCATTATTGTTTGCATCACAGATAGTATCAACAGCATAAAGAGCCAACCACAATATGATAAAATACTTGCAAGTCACATCTAATAAAAGATTAATATCCAGAAAATGTAATACCCAGCACTATAAATTAATATCATATACATCTCCCTCAAAATTAAAAAATTTGCAAAGGACCCGAACAGACATTTCTCCAAAGATATGTCACCAGCTAATAAGCACATAAAAGGTCGAACAACATCTCTATTAGGAAAATGGATCTCAAGGCTCTCATGAAAGCCACCCCATACCTTCAGGGTACCTCTAACCAGAAGGAAGAGACCATGACCCAGGTGTGGGTGAAGAGAGAGGGCTGGGCTCTTGGCACTGCAGGAGGGACACACACAGGTGTGACTTGAGACACTGTGGTGTTTCCTCACAAAAGACACACAATGACCATGTGATGCAGCAACTCTGCTTCAGGATACACATCTAAAATAACTGAAAGTGTAGTCTCAAAGAGATAGTTACACCCCCATGTTCATACCAACATTAATCACAATAGCTAAAAGTGTCTACTGATGGATGGCAGATAAGCAAAAGGGTTTATCCATCAAGTGGAATATTAGCCTTAAAAAGGGAAAAATTCTGACACATGCTACAAATGGGTAAATCCATTATGCTAAATAATAAGTCAGTCACAGAACCAGGCATGGTGGTGCACATTTGTAATCCCAGCACTCAGGAGGCTGAGGCAGAAAAATCGCTGGGAGTTTGAGGCCAGCCTGAACTATATACCGAAACTCTGTTTCAGAAAAATAACTAAGTTAGTCACAGAAAGACAAATACTGTATGATGCCACTTATATGAAGTAGAGCAATCAAACTCATGAGACAAAAAGCAGAATACAATAGAGGTTCTCAGGAGCTGGGTCAAGAGGGATTAGAGAATTTCTGTTTAGTGGGTATAGAATTTTGGTTTTATAAGGTAAAGAGAAATCTGGAGAAGAATGATGTGATGGATGCACAATACTAGGAAAACATTTAATAATTTCTAAACTGTTCACTTAAAAATAGTTAAGATGATGGAATTTCTGCCAGGCGTGATGGTGCACACCTATAATTCCACCAGTCAGGAGGCTGAGGGAGGAGGACCAACATGAGTTTGCGGTTAGCTTGGGCTACACACTGAGTTCAAGGCCAGCCTAAACTGCACACTAAAACCTTGTCTCAAAAAGAAAAAAAAAAAAAAAAAAGAAATAAAAGAAAACCACACACAGACATACACAGACAAAATCTGTTACATGCATTTTACTGCAAAATAGTCCCTGGGTTCAAACCCAGTACCACAAAACTTGACTAAACAAAAATGATTCCTGTCCAATTAATCAACCAACTTGAAAGAGAGGTTTGTTTGTTTTGCTTTGTTTTAAAAATGTAGGGACTGGTTTTCCATTTTGATTTAATTTTATTTTAACAAGAGGGAAATATTTCTATGGCCCCAAGGTAAGCCTACAAAGACTCACCAGTGTTCACGGGCTTTAGCTGCTCCACCCCACTGTCCACACCCTGAGCTTACCCTTCTGGTTTTGTTTATGCTTCTTTTACTATTTAATAGAAGCTAGTACATAATCATACAACCCATCATCTTAGATAAAAGGCAGCACAGTCTACACAGTAATTAAAATTACATACTTCGATGTATAGGCTTTTTGGTGGTTTCATGTCTTGTGTGATGTCCAGGCCTTCAGCTCCTCCCAGGGACCTCATATAAGTGGCAAGGGACTTTTTATACTGATTGAACCACTCCATCTGAAAACACAGACATGGTCATGTGACAAAATCCTAGGAAAACTTGCATGCCGCACACACTCATCCTACGTGGGCCAACACTGACCATCTGTTTGCAGGTACTATGGAGCCAGCCCGCCTTCTCACACCCAGGCACTCTCCTGGGTCTCGGGCTGACCATTCAGCAAAACACACACACACACACACACATTTGTGTACTTGTGAAGCTTACCTTCCATCATATTTAATCATAAACCTGGGGAACAGTCAACCAAAAACACAATCAAGAACTATAAAATTATTTCATTTCAGGACTATAAAATATAATTAAACAACAGCATTGATTCTATTTCTGAACACTGTAAAACAGTTTTAAAAAAAAACAACCCATTGTCCATGAACTGATGACTGGATATGAATACCACACAATAGATTATTCAGCCATAAACACAAAATTCCCATATGTATCACCACATGGATGAACCGCAAAATTTAAATAAAAGGGACAAACAGCCATATGAAGCATGATTCCACTCAGGAAAAACACATTATAGGCAAACTATAGAGATAACGAGTAAATGGGCAATCTCCAGGAGTGGGATGAAGGGAGAGACTGTGAAGTAACTAACAGTGAGCCCAGGGTTTCTTAAGAGTGAAGAAAATGTTCTGAAATAAGAGGATGGTGATGGGTGTGCAGCTCTGTGGATACACTGAAAAGCACCGAAATGTACATTTTAAAATGATAAACTTGACAGTGATGTGTCCCAGTCAACCTGTTACTTTAAAATAAAACTTGAGAGAAGTAAAAGAAGATTCAAATACATGGGGGACACACAGTATCCACTAAGTGACTCAGCACTAGCAATGTTGACTCATCTATGGGTTCCATTCAATCTCAATCAAATTCTTAACATTTCAAAAAATGGAACTTTCTGAGCCTGAAATTTACATGGAAATTTATTTTCTGAGACAAGCTCTCACTGTAGTTTATATAAGGTTCCCACCCACCCTGACCCCAAGCCCCAGTCTTCGGGCAGCTCAGCTCTGCACCAAGGCTGCCATCCACAAATGCAGGAAAGAAGGCAAGACAGGATGAAAAATTTGGCAGGATCTGGAGAGATCTAAAAATTTGCAAAGAATTCAGCCCACTGAGAAGCAAGATTTCCAGGAAACTTTAACCACAGGTGCTTACTGGGATCTGCCATCTTATGTCCCTGCCTTCTCTCCATCCCTGTGAAAAGGGACACACTGCTGTTTGTTTGAGGCAGACACTTATCACACTCTCTGCCTGCACCCAGGCACAATAAATTCCAGATCATGTTGGCTTTATCCAAGCCTTGTGGTCTCTGCTGGTTACATGTCACAGGCATGTACCACCATACTGGGCTATAAGGAAATTTGAAGGTCCAAAAATAGTTGAAACACTTGAAAAAGAAGATGACTAATGGAACAGAAAATAAGTCTCCCAAACTTATTTGTGAAACTCACAAATACAGCCATGCTTGGGTATGAGAAGTGGCACCATCCACACAGCAGGCAGAGACAGGGTCTTTCCAATGAACACTGCTCACACCAGTGTCCACAGCTAAGTGGAAACCTCCCCCCATTACACATGGAAGTCAATCCTAGTACCACAGGTTTCTTTTAAAAGGTAAAATACTGGTCCTATAAGATGACACCAAAAAATATTTTAACAGCTTTGAGATGGACAAGGATTTCTTCAATAGGTCAAAAACACAAGAAAAGACAGGTGAAAAAAAAAAAAAAAAGAAAAGAAAAGACAGGTAAGTTAGTCACAATAATAATTATATAGAACTGGTAGATAATGTTCATCCAGATCTGTCTCAAAATAAATTTTTTCTCCAAGCTGAGGATGTTGCTCAGTGGCGCAGCACCTGCCTGGCAAACGCAAGGTCCTGAGTTTGATTAAGGTACCCATAAAAATAAAAAAAAATTGACAATAAATTTTTTTCTTCAAAATAAAATTTAATAGCTGGGCATGATGGTATATGCTTGTAATTCCAGCACTCAGCAGTTGGTGGGTGCTGAGGCAGGAGGATCTGTGAATCTGAAGACAGCCTAGGCTAAAGAGTGAGTTCAAGGCCAGCCTGAACTGCATAGTGAAACACTGTCTCAAAAAATAAAGGGCCGGGAATTTAGCTCAGTGGCATAAGCTCCTGCCTGCCAAATGCAAGGTCATGAATTTGATCCCTAGGATCAAAAATTAAATTTTAAAAAATTTAAAAGGCTAAAATATATAGCCCAGTGGCAAAGTACTGGTGTAGTGTGAGAAAAGCTCTGGCTTCAGAGTTCAAGGAAGAAGATGTAGATGACAAATAAGCAAGTGGCCAGAGAGCAGTGACACTGGGAGGAGGAGGCTGTGCAGTGCCAGAACAACATCCTCTTTCTCCATCACAGTGGTGGATACACCATGACACTGCGCATCTGGTCTATGTGTGTTTTTGTATGTTAGTGTGTGGGTCGCACAAATGTTAGACTTCACCACACCAATAATCAGAAAAAGACATCTGCATAGGCAGGGGAAACTATGTTGCATGTTACATAATAATTAGAAATAACATCTTGTTTCAGTTTGCATGATGCCTCATGGCTCTCTCTACCTGGGTCTCTGCAGAAAGGCACTTGGGGCCAGTCTGAGGAGAAGGGTGGGGAAGAGGACCAGGATCACTCTGCCCTGCAAGGTCACCTCCCCTCAGTCCTGCTCAGGGATGAAAAGGCAATGCAGAATGCACATACTTCTTCCAAAATAATACACTGACCATCATGAAGTATTTATTCATGGGAAAATATTTATAAGAAACAAAATACAGCAGCTGGGTATACAAGTGAGCAGGACAGTGCCTGCCTGGCAAGTACGAGGTCCTAAGTTCGACTCCCAGTAGCAAAAAAATTAAAAAGACCTGATTTCATTATCTCTGGCATTATGATTTGACAATTCTACATTTAAAAGGCAAGTTGGATGAGCAAAAAATAAAGCTAAAGAAAACATCATTCATGATTTTACTTTTACTGATTTTACTTTTACTGATTCATGATTTTACTTTATTTTTAAAGAAAAAATCATTCATGATTTTACTATTTTGAAATTAGATCAGAGGAAATTCTTATACATTATCCACACACCTGCTTTTATATTTAGAGTGTGGTGGTTTCTCTGAACATTAAAGCACAGCTGTCCCACTTTACATTGATCCCTGTAGTCTATTTTTTTCTTTAATCAGATTTTATTGATACCTTTTAGAGATACATAATGACCATATTCATTGTAGGGAACTGGTTCTTCTACCTGATATAACTTGCTTCTTCTTTCCCATGACCTTACCCTCCCTTCAATCCCTCCTCTCCCCATTCATGAAAGTATTGCTTTGTTTAAGCCAGTTTTCTAGGTACCTTTAGGATTGAATGCATCATAGAGTTGATCCCTGCATTCTGGTTGTGCTCTTCACTTTTACTGTCACCCTAAATCCTCAATACCAAGAGCATCTGTGTCCCCAGCACTGCTAAAGCATCAGCATACATTATTTTTTATTTCTACAACATGAAGTCTATTACTATTTCCTTTTTACTGCCAAGGAACTGAAGCTCGGAGTTAATAAAAAGTAAGCCAGGGCGGGGTAAGCCTAGGTGCTGACTTGAGCATCAGGCCTCCCACCTGCAGCGCTGCCCTTGGGCAATGCAGCACAGCACATTGCAGCACATAGTGGCCTTTAGTCTTGGCAGTCTCCTACGAAGTGTTGGATGCCGAAGCGGGTGCAGTTCGCAGAGATGTCTCTGATGCAGGTGGGCCACGCCTGCACTAATTTTTATTTTCGTGCTGAGTTTTCTCAAAACATCATTACTGAGAGTAAGAGGGCAAACACATTGCAACTGCATGCATGTGCATGTGTGTCTGTGTTCGTGATTGGCACCGTGGACTGCACCCAGGAATTTCACACTGAGCTACATTCCCAGCCTTTTTTAAACTTTTGATTCAAGTCAGTTTCATGCTAAGTTGAGCTCAAACTTCAGATAGATCTCTCTGCCTTAGTCTACCAGAGTTCTGGTACTACAATTGTGTGTACCACTGCACTCGGCACGTATTCCTCTTTATAGATGAGGACCCTAGGACAGAAAGACATCATCTGCCAGTGCTACAGTAATTCACAAATGCTTCCAGGAAATTGTTTCAGGTTTCATTACTCCCAAATGACTAGACCATGATGTGCATATGATTATACTTTATAAAATTATAAAATAAGAACTCGCCTAATCATGGAAAAGTATTATTCTTAGACAAACAATATCAATGTGAAATCTACTAAATGACCTTTGACTGAGTGTCTAATCACTTACAAAATTAAGAGACATACTGATCTAACATATGAGAAAAATCATTATAACTTTTACCATTTCAGAAGTAACAGTTCATTTCACTGTAATATGCATGGAGAAACCCCAGAGTTCAAATCATATAAATAGACCTGGGCACAAAAGCACATGAAAGTTAAGTGTGGTGGCACTTGTCTATAATCCCAGCACTCAGGAGGCAGAGGCAGGAGGGTGCCTCAATTCGAGGCCAGCCTGGACTACCCAGTGAGACCTTGTCTCAAAAAACCAAGAGAATAAGAACCAAAAAACATGAAAATAAGCTGTTATGGTTTATATCTAGATGGGTTTTTTCATGCCACTGGGTTTTTTCAGAGGTGGTTGAATCCTGAGTGTGTGATGCTGGGATTAAGGGTATCATCAGTTTACTGACAGGCTTCATCCCTGATCTCAGCAGCTGAGACAGAGCATGAAAGGGGCAGAAAGATGCTATGAAGGTTGCTTGTTGACTTTTCCATCTTCTGCCCACCATCAACTGTACCCCTCTGCTGTGCCACCTGCCTTGGAGCCAGCTGATAATGAAACCTCACAAACTATGAGACAAACAAATCTTTCCTCCCTTGACCTTGGGCATTGAGTATTTTGTCTCAGCAATGAGAAAAGTAACCAAGACAGAAGCTGAAAGCTAAAGTCCAAATCTGTTACTAATCTATAATTACTGGTCAACCTGAGTAGAGATCTCTTGCTTACTTTTTATGAAATATTAATGAATTTATTTTGACTTACAAGCAATTTAAATAGGTAGGAAATACATAGACAACTGTGAATGTATGTAATCATAAAGCACACTTAACTACATAATATATATATGAATCTAAGAAAATGCTATCATCTTACAAGAAACTCATTTATTTATGCAAAAAATGGATAAGATGAAAACAAAGCAGTGACAGTGAGACAACAGACTGCCAGCTTCAAAAAGGCACAGATGCAAAGTGCGGCCATGAGTACTGTGTACTCCTGTCAGCTGGGCTGTGCCCTTTAGCACTGTGACCGCTATGACTCAGGCACTCGGCCTCCACGCCAACAGTTGCCCTGCCCTGCTATGCAATGAAGAAACAAGCTCGCCTGGTGGGCAACAGCTAGTGCTAGTGATTGACTTGTGGGGAACCCTGGACGGTTGGTGCTAACAGAATGCGTGAGGTGACCAACCCCAGCTACAGGGCCAATCACCAGACCAGAACACTGGACTTCGGACCCTGTGTCAAGGCATCTGATCACCTGGCGGAAGAAGAAGGGCAGCAATTAAGTCTGGTCCAGGGCCAGTGATCCAGCCAACAACCTCTAGACTGTGCCCTGAGCACTCTGGGAACTAGAGGCTGTGGGGCACCCTGGCTGAGGCACCCTGTGTGTGCTGTTATATTCAGTAACCAGGGCATAGCGAGTCACTCTTCCCTTCCTGGCCCTCATCTAGGTGGCCTCTGCCTCAGCTTTTAGCTGTACCCTTTGTGCTGTAGGGCACTGAAGCTTTGAACATAGTGCTTTCCTGAATCCTGGCAGTAATTCTGCAGAATTAGCCTAACAGGAGGGAGGCTGGGACCACAGGGGTCATGACTGGTTCTGGAGCATGGGTAAACTCCAGGCATCTGCTAACGCCAGGTGGCAGTGTCAGAAGTTAGTGTGGCCTTGTGATGCTGAGCACTGTGGACTTTACTGTGAGTAAACTCAGACACACTGATGCCATGCTGCTTTATTCTTTCAAGATAATGTAGTAGAGACTGGATTTGAACCCGAGCCTGTGTGGCTCCAATCCTACAGCCTGCAATGTAGGTACAGCCTGGGGGTCTGTACCTCAATGACTGGGTAAATCAGGAGTTTCATTATCAATACTTCATCATGTTGATAAGAAGGTGTGTATATGGCCAGGAATGGTAGTGCGCACCTGTCATTGCAGCAATCTGAGTGACTGCAGGAAGAGGACCAAAGCTGACATCCTACCTAGGCAACTAAGCCAAACCCTTTCTCAAAACAAAAAATAACAGATTTGGGCTGAAGTTCAATGCAAAGGCTCTGGGTTCATTCCCTGGTACCAAAAAAAGAACTGTGGATATACATATTCACTCTATAGAAACAGCCAAATAATAGTTCCAGGATTTGTTTTGATTTTTTTTTTTGGCTTTTTCAGCCAGGGTCTCACCACGTAGTCCAGGCTGGCCTCAGCTTCCCAAGTGCTGGGATTACAGACACACACAACTATAGCCAGCCAATGCCAGCTTTTTAATACCACTGATAGATTACTAATAACACAATGGTACTCTATCTGTCTGTTAGAAAACAAAAGTTTTCCACATGGCATTGAGAATTATTGCTCACCACATACTTTTCTCCAGTGTAGGTGACATAAATTCCAGTCAAACACTGCTGAGGAACAGATGCTAACAACAAAGAGCAGCACTGATCAGGTACAAACTGACTCCAGAAGCTCAGCACTTCTCTAACCCGAACCAGAGTACTTCACTTACTTCTTCAGCAGACATGTGGAACCGTAAAGCGCTAGGCAAGACGCTGCCATATTCCCACCTGAGGGCTCTGATTCGAAGCAGCCGGTCATACCTGCAAGACACTTGGGTGAGAACAGAGGGGACCAGAGTCGTTCCCATCGAGACTCACAGACAACCCCGACAGATCAGCGGCCTCCATGTAGCTCCTGACAGAACACATACCCTCCTGGGACAATGAAAGAAACACAAACAGCCTGGGCAGACACCAGAAGATGCTGCTTACTTCTCCAGGTATGGGCCAAAAAAGACACGAGGAGCAAAAATAAACACAGTGAAACATGGAAGACCTAACAGCAACCTGGCAGAACCTGGCATGCCTGTAATGCAAGTTCAAGGGCAGCCTGCACTTAGCCTTGCTAAATAGGGCAAACCCTGTATCAAAACAAACAGAAATAAAATAAAAAGGGTTGGGGCTGCAGCTCAGCAGTCCCTGAGCTTCACTCCAAGTACTGCAAAAATGAATTATTTAAGCAAGGCATAGTGGTACACACCTGTAATCCCAGTACTTGGGAAGCTGACTCGGGGATCGCTGCAAGTTCGAGGCCAGCCTAGGATAGTGAGTTCAAGGCCAGCCTAAACCACATAGCAAGCCCCTGGCTCAAAAAAAAAAGGAATAATAAATTACCAAATAATTAAAGGGCTGAGGATGTGGCTCAGTGGTAGAGCACTTGCCTAGTATGCCAAGGCTCTGGGTTTAATCCCCAATACCCCAGAAGAAAACAAAAAGTCCAAGAAAATCTAATGATACCATGGTTTTTGTTACTGTGTTGTATTATTTCTCCTTTTATGAATATTGCAACTGATTTGTTTTCATAATAAAGTCTTAAAAATGGAAAAAAAATAATTTAGAATTCAAATTTCCCACTTGCAAAGTTTATATGGAAAGCCAAACAACACGAAAAACCCTTCCAGTTTCCCTACTACCCCAAATAAAAGCTAAGTAACTTACAGGTATGCTACAGTACAGCGTCGATTTCTCAACAGAGAGCAGTGCCGAAATTTGATGGTCGGTATCAAATCACCTCGTCCACCTAACTTTGCATCATTCCTTGTAAGAGCATTTAAAGAGCACAACAGCAAGTTATATACATTTCAGCATAAAATTTCAAAGACAAAAACTACTGCCCTATATGCTTGTTTTACCTATTTATAATTAGCATCAGTAACCTAAGTAAAGGGCAACCATCTCTGCACCAGTGCTTAGATTAATAAGATAGAAAGCCGAGGGTTTAGCTCAGCAGCTCAAGTGCTTGCCTGGAAAGTATAAGGTTGTGAGTTCAATCTCTGGTACCAAATAAATAAATAAAAGTTAAAAATAAAAAAAGGTTACAAGATGGAAAATGAAAAGCAAAATAACTTGCCTAAAATCATACTATTAGATACATTTTGTTTAACTGTTTAACTGTTTGGCACTTAGCATTTTTTTGCACATTGACATATCTATTTCTTCTAAGAGACAATATTTGCTCACTTTTTGGAATCTGTTTACCATGTTGGCATAAGAAACAAACTTAACAGTACTATTCAGAAGGTCCCTGTTTCCTGTCATTTTTTTTTTTGGCGGTACCAGGGATTGAACTCATGACCTTGCACTTGCCAGGCAGGCACCTGTGCTACTAAGCTAAATCCCCAGCATTCCTGTCATGTTTTTTGAGGTAATATTTCTCTTTTAGTAGTTTTTTTGTACTACTAGAAGATTTAGTAGTCCTTATTAAAATAAAGTAAGTTAAGAGGGAGTCAAAATGGTCCTTCATTCTTCTAGAATCACCTGTTGGCAGGCATGGTATGCACACCTGTATTCCCAGCATTCAGGAGGCTGAGGCAGGAGGATTGTCACAAGTTTGAGGACAGCCTGAACTACGGAGCAAGATCCTGTTTCAAAAACCAAAAATATAAAAATATCTGTTGATTTCCAACTATGTACATGTATCATACTTCAGTGTTCACACAGAAGTGGAAAAAATTTTGAACTCAAAGTGACCCTCCAGCCTCAGCTTCCTGAATGCTGGGATTACAGGTGTATACCATCCTGCCCAGCAAAAGATTTTGTTTTCCCTATAAAAAGTACATATCCTTAGTAGTAAAGAATTACATTTTACAACCATGTGTGTAGAATGAGTGTGAACTGACTTTGAAGTTTGAAAGGTAACCAGATGAGTAAGAAAAAGATTTATTTGTGTAGTGCCTGCTCTATGCCAGGCACTCCATTAAGCCCTGGAAATGTATAAGTAAAAATCAGTTTGCTGTATGGCACACAGCTGTAATCCAGCACTCTGGGAGGCTGATGCATGAGGATCACAAGTTTGAAACCAGTTTGGACAACTCAGCAAGAGCCTGTCTCAAAATTAAAAATAAAAAGGGGGTAAAATGGGGCTGAGGATATAACTCAGCAGCACAAGCGCCTACCTGGCAGGCATGAGGTCATGAGTTCAATCTCTGGTACCAAAAAAGAAAAAAAAGGATTTTTAAAAAAAGATAAAAAAGAAATAAAAGATAAAAGGGTGTGGGATGTGCCTAGCAATGGAATACTACCTAGTAGGCTATCTAAAAGAAAAAAGGATTAAAAAAAAAAAGAAAAAGCCAGGTGCAGTGGCTCATGCCTGTAATCCCAGCACTCGGGAGGCTAAGGAGGGTGGATTGTTGCAAGTTCGAGACCAGCCTGGGCTACAAAGTGAGCTCAAGGCCAGCCTGAACTGCATAGCAAGACCCTGTCTTAAAAAAAGACAAAAAAAAAAAAAAAAAAAAAAAAAAAAAAAAAAAGATAAAAAGGGTGTGGGATGTACCTCAGTGATAGAATATTACCTAGTACTATATTTGCTGAGCCCTAGCAAGGCCCTGAGTTTGGTTCCCAGTACTGGATAGAGGGGAGTGAGAGAGAAAATACAGGTGAAACAGATCCAAGACCAGGTGAGTTTTTTTGTTTTGTTTTTGTGGTGCTAGAGATCAAACTTTCATGGGTCAAAACCAAGCCTTTGCTCCTGCTAACAAGCATTCCACCCCACTAAGGTAGAATCCTTGCCCCCTAAAATCTGTCCCACATACTTCTGCCACCCTATAGAGGTCAGATTTATTTTTCACATTGCTCACAATGTACTCTGGGTTATAAGGAAAGAGTACAAATAGCCAGGTAGGCGGCACATGTGTACACCTATAATCTCAGCACATGAGAGGCTAAGGTAGGAGGAGGCTGTAAATTCAAGGTCAGCCTGGGCTACATAACAAGACCCTGTCTCAAAAAAAAAAAAAAAAAAAAGGAAAGAGTACAAATAAAAGGTTAGAGGTTTAGCTCAGCAACACAAGCACCTGCTTGGCAAGCACAAGGTCATGAGTTCAATTCCCAGTTCCAAAAAGAAAAGAAAAGAGTACAAATAAAATACATTTGACCTAACATCAGTCCTGTACAAAGTACAGAAAACACCTTTTAAAAATTCACAGATAGCAGGTGTGGTGGCACATGCCTATAATCCCAGCACTCCTACAGGAGATTGCAAGGGCCACATGTGGGTGGCATCACTTACCACAGGACCACCAGAACCATCTGTCGGCTCTACCTGCTCACCCTGTGTTTGCTGCATCAACAAACAACTCAGAGACCTGGGCCAGGACTCTATCTGCCTTTTACACATGTGTTGCAAGCCTGCTGAGAGCGTCTCATTCCACTGGCAAAGAGCCACAGTGCCTGGAAAATGTACCTATCCTCTTGTGCATCCACAAATCTTACTAGCATACTCCTGATTTCCATAGCCGAGTAATACCAAAACATTCTCTAGGTTTCTGCACATTTCTGCACAGACAAAACCTCCTGACCTCTCTAAGCTGAGATCCTGACCTCTGATCCAGTACTTGGCACCCTTCTGGGACTTAGTCCACTGAGTCATTGCGACTGGGGAAGTCGGTCCCATAGTCCCCACTGCATCATCTCCATGCTTGCTCTGAATAAGTAAGCTAGAGTATATTCTTGACTGCAACAAAGCAGCCTTTTCTAACAGGAGCTCTACTGAGACAAACATGACCATCAGAGATCACGCAGCTCCAGCTAAGTTTACAAACTGCCCATACCCCTCAGACAAATGAAGGCATCAGTTAAAGAAAAAGAGCTGAAGGGCCAGGGGTTTAGCTTAGTGGCGTACGTGCCTGCCCTGGCAAGCACAAGGTCATGAGTTTGATCTCTGGTACAAAAGAAAAAGAAAAGAAAAGAAAAAAAAAGAAAAACAAACAGATGAAGAAAATGAGCTGGAAAACATGTTTCACTTTGTTAGGGTTTGATCATCTTTAGATCTATTTAATTCTTCTGAACACATATTGGTCAAATCATAATGTTTATTAAGCATGTGCCGCATGGAAGCACTGTTTCAGCATCATACAAGCAGATTCCTCTGAGTCCTAGCCCTATGCTAATGTGTACAGCTAGAGTATGATCAGGCTCAGAGAATTAAAAAGCAATTAGTTCCAAAGACTAATGCATGGTGATCTGATTTCAACATTTTATTTCTGAAATGACTTTAACATCTCTCATCAAAACTTACACATCAGATTGGTTTTGTTCATATAAAGCTTTCATTTCCTCCAGAACTTGTCTGATTCCATCCTCCTAAAACACATAAATGGATATTAATACACATTCATTCATTTCCCTACCAATTCTGTGACAATATTCTATTTGTACTACATTTATCTTTGATTTATGTACCTTACCAAAAAGCAATAGCCCTTCCCCACTTACTAGAAGGGACATAACATGTGTTGGAAATGAATGAAAAATGGCAGAGCCCTGGGGAAAACAACCCTTCAAAAAATTAACACAGAATTACTACATGATCCAGCAATCTCACTCTTAGATATAACTGAAAATGTATGTTCACACAAAAACATTATACATAAATGTGCTTAGCAGCATTATTCAAAAGTCAAAAAGTGGAAATAATATAGGCATGGTGGTATACATTTGTAATTTCAGCTACTTGGGAAGCTGAGGCATAAGGATTGCAAGTTTAAGGCCAGCCTGGACTGCAAAGCACACACACACTCACACTCAACATACACATAGTAGAAACAATCCAAGGCAAGCACTTATGCCGCTGAGCTAAATCCCCAGCCCCTTGTTTTGTTTTTTGAGACAGCGTCTCATATGTAGTTCAGGGGGCCTTAAACCCATGGCGATCCACTTGCCTCAACCTCCCAAGTGCTGGAATTAATGTGTACCATGCTAAACTCAGTGATGATGGTTTTTGTTTAGGGTAATGAAAAAGTTTTGGAAATAATTGTGACTAAAACTAGAAGTTTCATTTGACCCAGCTATTCCTCTTCTTGGTATCTTTCTGGGAGAATCAAAAACATCATACCATAGTGATATATGCACACCCATATTTGTAGTGGTACAGTTTGTAATAGTTAATATCATGGAAACAGCCCAAATGCCTATTAACTTATGAACAGATTAAGAAGATGTGGGTTTTTTTCTACAATGGAGTACTACTCTGCAAGAAAGAAGGATAAGCTTAAGACATTTCTAGCTAAATGAATACACCTTGAGACCACAGTATTAAGTGAAATACATTGGATACGCACATGTAAATACTGCATTGTTTCTCTGGTATGAGAAACCAAAAGTGTAAGTAAGGACCGAAATGTGTAAAAGATATTGTGAAATAGGAAGAAAATGTTCAAATGGAAGAAGAACAAGAGGTGGAGTGGGGGGGGGGAGAAGGGACAAGAAAAAGAAAGACAGTAGAAAAAATGGAAACAAACTTTTTGTAATTAAGGGAAAAGGGATTGATGGGAGAGGAGGGGAATGAGAAAAAAAAAAAAAAGAGGTACCAAGATATATCATGGACAGGCACAAATCCCCTATGTTGAATGCTACCATTTATGCATCTCAGATGTACCAATAAAGTTAATTAAAAATAAGAGGAAGAGACCAAAAACAAAAGCAGTAGCCTGTGATTCCATCTAGCCCTTTTAGAAAAAGGTTGCCAACTCCTGGCACTTCAACCCAGCAATACATTAAAATGACAAATATAATGTATAGTCAGAAATAGTACACTGTGGTTATTACAGACTGTAGGGGGCGGCACTTTTGGGGCTATGAAAATAATAATCAGTTATAAAGATGTATAGTTGAGTAGGGTGTTGCATGCCTGGAATTCCAGCACGTGGTTGGCTGAGGCAGGAGAACTGCCACAAGTTTGAGGATAACCTGGCCACCATAGTGAATTCAAGTGAGACTTGTCTCAAAAAATATATACACACATTCTCTTCAACTATAATTTTATCATACACAAATTATACCTCAATAAAACTGATGACAAAAAATTGGTCACACAAAAGCAGTAACAAAAACTGGTAGATGAGTAATTGTTTACTAAAAACTGATCTTTAAAACTTCATTTTCAAAGCTTTGTCCACTACTCAGGCGGTTGGAGCAGAAGAACTGCCAAAAGTTCAAGGCCAGACTGAAATGCATGGCAAGACCCTGTCTTAAAAAAACAAAAAACAAACCTCAAAAACTGTTTTTTGTGGTGTGGGCAATTGAACCCGGGGTTTCCTAACTGCTGAACTACAATCCCAGGCCTTTTTTTAAATCTTGAGATAGGCTCTTGATAAACTGCCCAGGCTGACCTCTAACTCCCCATCCTGCCTCAGTCTCCTAAGTGGCTAGGAATATAGGCATACACTACCATGCCTGGCTTTTCAAAAAGTATTTTTACTTAGTACTGCAAGAATAAAAAGCCCGAGGCTGGGAATTTAGCTCAGCGGCATAAGCACCTGCCTTGCAAGCAGGTGGTCGTGAGTTCGATCCCTGGTACCAATTAAAAAAAATAAAAAATAAAAAAATAAAAAGCCCAGCGGCCAGGGATTTAGCTCAGCGGTAAGTGCCTGCCTGGCAAGCACTAGGTCGTGAGTTCGATCCCCGGTATCAAAAAATAAATAAAATTTTAAAAAACCCAAGCCGGGTGTTTCGACGCATGCCTGTAACTCCAGCACTTGGGAGGTTGAGGTGGGAGAACTACAATAAGTTCGAGACCAGCCTAGGTTACATAAGAGAGTTCAAGGCTGGACTGAACTACATCGCAAGATGCTGGCGGTCCTGAGTTCGATCCCCGGTACCGATAAAATTTTAAAAAATCAAAAACAAAACAAAGTAAAGCAGGAGGAGGAAGCAGCGGGGGTCAAGGGAATATTCATACTATCCACTTTGAAGCAAGTTTTTAAAACCTTTTTTGTTGTAAAAGTAAAACATTAAATTCATAAATGTGATACTGTAGCTCTGTCAACAATCTAGAGAAGCAATCCTATCCACTTTTCCCTGTTCTTTGCAGTACGGGGATTATGTGCTTTTGTACCCTTAGAAGCGAAGAGTACGAAGTTGCCCTGTGGTGGGTGTGGTGGTACAGTCCTGTCACTTTAGCTCCGCTCCCGCGCCCCGCCCCGCCCCCAAACAGGGCCACGCCCCTAGCGCCGAGAGCCCTCTGCGTCGACCCCGCCCCCAGGCAAGTCCACGCCCTGGTCCGCCCCTTGCTATCTGTTTCCGTCAAAACCCCCAACACGACCCTCCTGAGCCACGCCTCCTCCTCACGTTGAAAGGGGGCAGCTGCCCTTCGGGAGCGCGGTGCAGTTCCCGGACCAGCTCCATAGCTTTTTCACAAAACATGACGGACGCGCCCCTTTCCTACGGTTTTGTTCTCACGCCGAACAGTCGCTGGCCTCAAGGCCGCAAGGCTCACGTTGCTCAGTTCCCCACAGCTCCAATTCTTTGTCTCCGCCTTCGCTCCGTGATTGGCGCCAAACGCACACGACCAATAGGAGCTCAGTGCTGGGACCCCTCGCCTACGGCGGCTGCAAAGGAACATTTATCGCTAATATGAAACTACTACTAGTGGAGCGTCGCTGAGTAAAAGAGTTGAAAGTGGGCGTCGGGCTGCCCATAAAACGAGGCTGAACCGTGAATCGCCGAGCCCCCAGGCTACTGTGCGGGCGACTTGCACACTCTGGAGCTACCTTTTGATGGATCATATCCTGAGGTACAAAGGGAAATTTGAGGTTCATGACACAGCGTGGTACAGGGAAAGGTTCTGTTTGTTTAAACCTCTTTTATTGGCGCCCTCAGTGTGACTGGAACTGCGACATAGGAGATAGGAGTATGCTGAGTAGTCTAGGCTGACTTTGAACTCCTTGTGTGACCCTGCGCCTCCTGCTTCGGCCTTCGGAGGACTGAGTTTGCAGGTTTGTGCCACCACACCAGGCTAAAGGTAGCTATGTGTTGGGGTATGATAAGAAAACTGCAGTTAGATAACTTGCCCAAGGCCACACAGCCTGTAACGGATTAGACCTTTGTACTATAGTTTTCCACTTTAAGTCCTATAGTGCACTCTGATTTTATAACAGTCATTTAAAAAGATTCATTGCCGGGCATAGTGCACACGCGTGCAATCCCAGCGCTCCGGAGACTGAGGCAGGAGAATCACCACGTAGGCCAGCCTGTGCTCATAAGTGAGTTCAAGGCCAACATGTATTACATAAGGAGACCCTGTCTCAAAAACAACAAAAAGTTGCCCTAGTGTGGAAGGTCTTCAGTGAACGGACCTAGGCTTGGGAACTGAAGATGACTTCAGGAAATGCCAAAATTGGGCACCCTCCCCTCTACTTTAAAGCCACAAGCTGTTATGCCAGATGGGCCGTTTTGTCCGACTACAAAGGAAAATAGGTTGTGTTCTTATTTTGCCCTCTTGACTTCACCTTAGTGTGCCCCACAGAGGTAATTGCTTTCAGTGACAGGGCAGAAGAATTTAAGAAACGTAACTGTAAGTGATGGGTGCATTTGTGGATTCTCACTTCTGTCACTGACCTGGATCAGTACACCCAAGAAACAAGGCCTTTGAACATCCCCTGGGCGTCAGACTCCAAGCGCACCACTGCGCAGGTCGATGGAGTCCTAGCGGTGGATGAAGGCATCATTCAGGGGTTGGTGGTAGGGCACACAGTCCATGACCTTTCTTTCCGCTGCTCTGCGGGTTTCAGGCCTCCAGTTCCCCCGACAAACATGGAGAAGGGTGCCCCTTTTGTACTTTTTTCTCATGCCTTAAACACGAGACGTGCTGTGGGCCAGTGTATACCTTTCCTGCAGGAGTAGGGGAACAGTCTTGTCAGCTGGGTGTGATGGTCTGAGATGCGAAGTGGAGTGGACCAGGAGCAAGGGCATTGGCTCATTCATGGATCTTTTGTGGTGTGTATTAAAGTCTAAGAATAAATAAGTAAACAAACAAAATAAAAACATCCGTGGGGCTACAGGGTCAGTGGTAGAGCACTTTGAAACCCAGCATGGAAATCCCTGAGTTGGATCCCCAGAACAGGAAAGAAAATATTGAGATAAGAGGGAGCAAATGTCCTAGATTACCATAACTACATAAGTATTTTATTGATGAGATGATTTTGGAAAGTTTCCTAATTACATAGAATTAAAGATAGGAATCATTGACACAGAAACAATTCATTTTATATGGCTATTTTCTGAAAAGCAGTAATATTCTCTTGGTGCTGGAGACCAAACACCAAGAACCTAAGCAAATAAAAACCACTATTGGATTCATTGAGGCTAATGCTAGAAACAATGTTGCTCTTTTACAAATGCAGATCTTTTTCAGCTGCCAGTAACCTTTAACCTGTCATAAAGGTTGACCTTAGGAAAGTAACTTTGGAGCCTGGTTGTCAAGCCTCTAATCCTAGCCCTTAGGAGGCTGAGGCTCCAGGAAAGCCGAGAGTTTGAGGTCTCCCTGGACTACATAGTAGGACTCTATCTCAAAAACCAAAAAAAAAAAAAAAAAAAAAAAAAAAAGAAAAAAAGCAAGGATAGGTTAAAGGGAGGGAGGAGAATAGGAGGAAAAGCAGCAGCAAAATATATCACATAAAAATACAGGGGGCTAGCAGCATAAGTGCCTGAGTTGCAAGCAGGCAGACATGAGTTCAATCCCCGGTACCGGTAAAAAGGAAAAAGACAAAAACAAACAAAAACAAAACAAAACAAAACAAATTCCCTGTGAAAATGTTATTATATCTAAAATTTTTAAAAACCTTTGGAATAAATAGGCAAGTATATATCTTGCTCATAGATCATTTGTAAAATTAATGGTACTGTATTAAAGAAAACCAAAACTATAAAGCTGTGTGAAAATGCTCTATGTTGGAACTGTTGCAAAGAATCAACAACTGGGATCCTAATTTACTAAAAAGCTTTTGAGCTAGGCATGATGGTATACACCTAAAATCCCAGCACTCAGGAGGCTGAGGTAGGAGGATTACTGTGAGTGCAAGGCCAACCTGAACTACAAAGCAAGACCCTGTCTCAAAAATAAAAGGCTTTTAAACAGCAAGAAATACCACTGACAGAGTGAAGAGATAGCCTACAGAGTAGAAGAACTTTTTGCCAGCTGTTTCTCAGACAAAGGACTAGTGACCAGAACATATAAAGAATTTTAAAAAATCAGACACCCAAATTTAAAAACCTAATCCAAAAATGCACATCTGAAATGGCTACTTCTCAGACTAAGAAGTAGAAACAGTATATAAGGGCCAGGGATTTAGCTCAGTGGCACAATGTCTGCCTGATATGCATAAGGTCCTGAGATTGATTCCTGGTACAAAAGAAAAAAAAAACATAGTAAATATATAAAAAAGTATTCAACATTACTGGTCATTCAAGAAATGCAGTGCCAGGTGTAATGGTGTATGCCTGTAATTCCAACACTTGGAAAGCTGAGGTAGGGGGATTGTTGAGAGTTCTGAGACCAGCCTGGGCTACAAAGTGAGCTCAAGGTCAGCCTGAACTGCATAGTGAGATCTTGTCTCAAAAAAGACCCAAAAAATGCAAATTAAAACAATGTTGAGTTTCCATCTCACTCCAAAAAAAATGGCCATTATCAAGAAATCAACCAATAATAAATGCTGGCAGAGCTGTGGGTTAAAAAGGAACCCTTCTCCACTGCTAGTGGGAGTGTAGACTGATGCAACACTCTGGAAATCAGTGTGGAGATTCCTCAAAAATCTAAAACTATGCCTGGCAAGTGCAAGGTCATGAGTTTGATTCCCAGCACATGCGCGCGCGCACACACACACACACACACACACACACACACAAATCTAGAACCAGAAGTTTCATTTGACCCAGCTATTCCTTGGTATCTTCCTGGAAGAATTAAAAACATCATACCACAGTGATATATGCACACCCATATTTATAGTGGCACAGTTTGTAATGGCTAATATCTTAGAAATAGCCCAAATGCCCATCAATTGATGAATGGATAAAGAAGATGTGGGTTTCTTTATATAATAGAGTACTACTCTGCCAGAAAGAAAGATAAGCTTACTACTCTTCCAGAAAGAATGATAAGTTTGAGACATTTCTAGCTAAATGGATGCACCTTGAGACCATAGTCTTAAATGAAATACACTGGACACACACATATAAATACCGCATTGTTTCTCTGGTGTGAGAAACCGAAAGTGTAAATAAGGACCAAAATGTGTAATAGATATTGTGAAACAGAAAGATGTTCTAAAGAGAAGGGGAATCTGGGAAGGGGAAGGAGAAAGAAAGGAAAGGGAAAGAAACCAGAGAAGAAAGAAAAATGGAAACAAAGCTTTTGTAAATAAGGAAGGAGGTCAAAGGGAGGTAGGGAAATGGAGTAAAAAAGAAGTTATATCCTGTGCAGGTACAGATTCCTTGTGATGAATGTGATTGTTATATGGACCTAAAATGTACCTAAAAAGATTGTAGATGCTTATTAAGTCAGGTGTAATGGCAATCACTCATAATACCAGCACTTGAGAAGCTGAGGCAAGAGGATCGCAGTGAGTTGAGGCTAGCTTGTACTTTATAGTGGATTCTGTCTCAAAAAACAAACCACCCACCCACCCAAGTGGGGAATAAAATGATTTAAACTGACAGATGTGAGAAATCCATTTCAAAGATGAATTTGAACTTGTAAAACCCAAATTAAGTATTAATTCAAGCCATCTTAAAGAGATAAAAGGAAATTATACTTGGCATTTTTTTTTTTTTTTTTTTATTAAGGGCCAGGGGGCGGGAGTTGAAGCAGGAGGATCACTGTCAGTTGGAAACCAGTCTGGGCTACATAGTGAGTTCAAGGGCAGCCTGAACTGCAAAGTGAGACCTTGTCTTAAAAAAAAAAAAAATACAGTCATTATGTACTGCAATCACATTTTAATAAGAATTAAAATTTAAAAGAAAAATTTGGGGCAAGCCAAGGAACCAGGGTCCCTTTAACCTTCGAGTCGCTCAATCATATCTTGGGACTTACTACTAGGTAACATTTTCTCTAATAGAAACCAGTTCTGCTCTGTTTGTTTTTAAGGACCTGAAATCTAATGAAGGTTTTCAAAGAGTAAATTGTTCCAGTGTGTCATTTTTCATACATCAGACCCAGAAGTTAAGAATCTATGAATTTTTTCAAATTATCTGGAAACATGTTTTTTAAGGCAACGTCCTGAAGCTGGGTGTGGTGATGCACACCTATAATGCCAGCACTTGGGAGACTGAGGGAGGAGGATTGCTTTGGGTTTAAGGCCAGCCTGGGCTACAAAGCAAATTCAAGTCCTGAACTGCAAAGTATAACTCTGTCTCAAAGACAAGAAGTAAAAACAAAACAAAAAAAACCTCGTGAAGACCTTGTGGGAAGATAGCTTTAAATTATTAGAACGAAATTGTGATTTTGTTGCCTGAGTTTGCATAAATCTGAATGGCATTTCAGGGTGTTCCGACTGCGCACATCTCAGGGTTTCGGGGCTGGGGACTTCTTGAAAGCATGTGCTGGAGGCATCGGATCCGGGGGGCAGGAACCCCTTGGGGTGCCAGGACAGGAGGCACCTAGGGGTGTCGGGCACTGGACGCCTCGGGATTGGGTGCCTGCTTTGTGCTGTGGCTCGCGTCGTCGCGTGGCCCCTGTCTGGCCAACAACGTCCCCGTATTCTTCCATTCAGTCCGGACCCCGGATTCCGCAGTCAGACCAAAGACACCTAGGTCTGCCGCTCGCTTACCCCAAACTGGGCAGCGCTGCGCCGCGCGGCGGCGGAGGGAAGTGGGGCGGGGACATACGCGATCCGGGCGCTGATTGGCTAGCGCGGCAGAGGAGGGGATGAGGGGCGGGGCCTGAGCAAGCCGGACGATGATTGGCTGGCGCGGCGTGCCGGCGCAGGCGCCAGCGGGCTTGCGGCCGGGGATGTGAGTGGTGCTGGATCCCGGGGCTGCGACTAGCAGGGACTGCGGGCGGCGACTGCAGGAGAGGCCAGCGGGCGCCTAGGGCGGCCGGGTGTCGGCCGCGGGATGAGGAAGCGGACCGAGCCCAGCAGCTTGGAGCATGAGCGCTGCGCCGCTGCGGGCTCGCCCTCCTCCTCCGGCTCGACCGCCGCGGCGCTGGACGCCGACTGCCGCCTGAAGCGGAACCTGCGCCTGGCTGGGCCGGCGGAGCCGCGCCGAGCACCCGACGCGGACATGAAGCGGGCGCTGGGCAGGTGAGTGGGCCTAGCCGAGGGCATCCCCGGCTCAGGGCCGTCAGAAGCCGCGCAGCGGACTGCGACCTGGAGGCAGCGGCCTGCGGCCCGCGGGCGGGAGGCAAAGGATGCTGCGAGCGGCTGCACGCGGACACGGTCTCCTTGGGAATGGAGCGCTGAAGTCGTTTGGGTTGTGCGTCCTCGCTTGGGGGAGAGGAAAGCATCTGTGGTTATGTAAAGCTGATTTCAGAATCGAGAGAGGAGCGTGTTTCACGGAGATAGATCTCTTTCCATCTGGCTGTTCGTGGAGCATGTTATTCATGGTAATTATGAAGCTTCGATGTTTCCTGATGTTTGATGGAATTTGAATATAACGTTCTCAGTTGTCCTTTGTTTGGGGGTCAGTTCCAATGCTAACCCAATACAGAACACTTCATTGTGAAATACTAATACAAACTGCCTCTAAAGAAAATGAGAACTTCAGCATCTGTGCTTAAAAGATCGTGAAATTAAGAGTGTGGAGGCCTGTAAACCTGATTTTCCTGTACCAGGAGTGAAGGGAGGAGTTTTGGTTGTGTGTGTGAATAAAATTAATAACTGATCAGTAGCTTTTGTGAAGCTGATTGTTCTCTTTGGAAAGGCTTATCTGACTTAAGAGCTAATGATTGGCTCTGATATATTTTCTTAACGTGCTTAGGTTAAGTTAGGCAAGTTGGAAAAGTCAAATTGCTGTGCATAGTAAGATTTGGGAATGCTGCTACACTGGCATCTCCCTCAGGAGTGTGCTATAGTAAAAGGACCTGACTGATTTTTGGTGTTGTGGCAGAAACACTCGAGTGGTGTCCTTAGGTTAAACACAAGGCTTTTAAGGGAATAAAACAAAACAGGAAAGGAAGGCCAAATTCGCATGTCATCCTAAGGGTTTCCTGTTGCCTCTTCTCCACGTTGTCTGGTGCCTTGCAGAGAGGCCTTGAAGTGCTGCGATGCTGGCCTGGTCACCTGCTTGACATGATTGCTACTGCTGCTCACATGCCTGCTGTGCTTGTGACTCCTCTCCACCCCTGTATCGCCAGTACCTGGCACATAGGTGGCAGAAGATACTCATTGGATGAGTGAACAGATGTAGAATAATTTCCTAGACATGGGATTACTGGGCCAAGGGCATGTGTTTAAAACTTGAAAGGTAAAGCTAAATAACCCTATGAAAGTTGGGCGTGTGACGTGTGCCTGCAGTCTAGCACCCAAGAAACTGAGGCAGGATTACAGGGAGTTTAAGGCCAGCCTGGGCTATTGGCAAGACCCTGTCTCAAAAAACACAAACAAAACAAAACAACTACTATAAAGTATTGATTTGTACTTCCACTTCAATATTAATACTTCCCCTTTCCCAATATTGTATATTACCACATTTTGACCTTTGATGAAAGACAATGGTATCACAGATTTGTAGCTTTAATTTGCATTACTTGTTAGGTAGCATTTTTGTGTGTTTGTATAAGCCTGTTATTTCCTTTGGCAATTACTGTCTTTTGTGACCTTCTTTTGTTTGGATTCTAACCCAACAATTTCTTTAAATATTTATATATATATATATATATATCAGTGTAAAGTAGACAATATAATAGTCCTCCATGTATCCACTTAGTTTCAACAGTTTTCACTGTATAGCAAGTCTTAAAACCATCCCTCTTCCTTAACTTGGACAAGAAATGTATAGGATTTTCAAGTAAAGTAATTTTTTTTGGCACCGGAGATCAAACTCACAACCTCCACCTCGTGCTTACCAGGCAAGCCAGTGAGCTGATGAGCTAAAGCCCCAGCTCCAAATAAAGTGATTTAAAAAGACATTTCTGAGACAATTTGGAAAATGTGTAAGTGAACTAGGTATTAGATAATATTAGAGTGAATTACTGATTTTGATATAACATCTGGATTATATATTTCAGAAGTCCTATTTTTTCAAGATACCCTGGGAAATATTTATTCGTAAAATTAAATTATTTTAAAATATTAGTTTCCTGTAAATGGGGAGAGAAGGAGGAGTTGAAGGGAGGGTAGGAGAATGGGAAAAAATAAAACAAGTTATGTCATGTAGAGGTACAGATTATCTGTGATGAATGTGGTCATCATATATATCTAAAATGTACCAGTAAAACCTTATTAAAAATAAATTAGATTCTCTTGAGATGAAATTACAGGAAATATTTTTGTGTCATTACATAATAGATTTATACTTATGTATGCTAATACTGAAAGATCTCTGAAATAGATTTAACAGTGAAAACATAAAACAATGTAAACTGCATGCTTCCTTCTGTGTAAAATTAAAGACAGATATGTAGATTAATGCAGATTAATGCTTTCTTTAGATTAATGCTTTTTAAAATTATGAAGTATAATAAGTAATTGTTCACTTGGAAAAGGCAGTGAAGGAAAGAGAATTGCAGCCTTACATGTCCATTTTGTAACTTTCTGCACTATTTACGTTTTTTAGTCATAAGTATGTTAGTCTTTAAAAATGTCGAAGGGGGCCCAAAAAAGAGCTCAGTGGCATAGTGCCTGCCTGGCAAGTGCAAGGCTCTGAGTTCAATTCCCAGTATAAAAAAAACCCAAATAAGCAAACAAACAAACCAACCTGAGGGCTGGGGACGTAACTCAGCAATGCAGCACCTACCTAGCAAATGTGAGACCCTGGAGTTCAATTCCTGATACTACAAAAGGAAAAAAAAAATGTTGAAGGAAAGGAGCTCTTTATCCTCTTTTGGTTGCTTTATTTGTTTAAAAAAATTAGTTTCCTATCCTACAAATAAGAAAGTCCTCTATTGTGAGTGTCTTTGTGAGAGGTGATCAGAAATAACTGTTACTACTGCTGCCATTCAGTGGAAGGCAGGTACCAGTGCTCTGGGCTAGGACCACTGATGTCCTGCTCAGAGATATGATGACAGAATAAAACACAGATAAAACATACATTTTAGTTACAAAGATGGTCAGAGCCCCATGATAGGTGGGGCTTCCTTGGCCCTGATTAGATGCATAGCATGATTAGGGAGTACTGGGGGCTTTGTGAAGCTTTGGGGGTGAACTGCTGACTCAGTCCAGGTTCAATAATTGAGGAACAATACATTGTTGGAAAAGCACACAGGAACAGATCAGGGTTAACTGGTAACCCGATTGTCTGCTGTCTGTGACTACAGGGTTAACTGATAACCCGATTGTGCTAGATGGAAAGTGCTACAGTCCGGCCCAGTTATCTTGCTGGTCTCTGGCCGGTGGCTTAAAGATGCATCTGGCTATAAGTGAGCCAAGGTCTCGCCACGAATCATGTGGGCCTAGGACTGACTCTCTATTTATCTTCGTGCCAGTTTATGAGCAGGAATTACCACATCGTGCTGGTCCTCAGCAGGAGGCTCTTGTAAAAATGATGCTGTGACCTCCTCCACCTTTTCACTTTGCAGTCTGACTCTCAAAGTCAAAGTGACCATTAAAGGTCAACATCTGTATCAATTTAGGACATCAGGGTAGCCAGGACAACTGAAGGCACACAGGAAAGAAGACACCAGAGCTGCTTTAGAAGGTGGCAAGGGTGATGTGGAAAGTGTGTTGTGTGAGGCAAGGAGGAGGATTCTGAGCGTGACTAACAGCAATCTGTCTTTTATTATAGTAAATTTAAAAATTTAAATATTCACTGTTTTTGAGTCATGCCTTGTATCTCCAAGAAAATATTTGTTAGTTTTAGAAAAGCAAGGTGATGCTAATGGCCAAGAGTAGTGAAGAACAGGGTCTATCTGAAGCAGGCAGCAGGTCTTGTGCCCATCTCAATGGTGCCTGACAGGACACTGGCCACTAGTGGCCAGATTCTTCATTTTTCCAGAAAAGAATAGTTGATTTTCATTTGGGTATTTTGTGGTGGAGAATTTTTTGTTTATTTGTTTTGTTTTTTGAGACAGGGTCTCACTGTGTAGTTTAGGCTGGCCTTGAACTTAACATGTAACCCAGACTGATCTGGAACTCATAGCAATCCTGCCTCAACCTCCCAACTGCTAGCATTGCAGATGTGTGCCACCATGCCCATCTACTTTGTTAACTACTGAAAGAAAAACTTTTTATCTAGATTACCAGAAGAAAATATATTTCAAAAATGAAGTTTTCCACCATATAGAAGGTAAAGAAAGGACAGACACATACTGAGAAATGCTGCTACTAAGGAGGCTGAGGCAGAAATCACTTAAGTCCACCAGTCTGAGACCAGCCTGGACAATGTATCAAGACCTCATCTCAGAAATAATTAAGTTATAAAAAGAGGAAATGCTAAAATATGACTGTTAGTCAGAAGGAGAATTGTACCAGATGAAAAGCTAAATCTTCTGTGAAGAACTTTGGGAATGACTATGGAGAAAATATTTTTATTACTTACATTTTTTGTTTTAGTCTTTTTGAGACAGGGTCTCACTATGCAGTTCAGGCTGATCTTGAGCTCACTTTGTCGTACAGGCTGGTCTCGAACTCACAGTGATCCTCCTACCTCAGCCTCCTGAGTACAGGGGTTATAGGTATGCACTACCATGCCTGTCTTTTTTTTTGGTTTCTGAAACAGGTCTTGCTACATAGTTCAGACTGGCCTCAAACTCCTGTCTCAGTTTCCTGAATACTAGGATGATAGGCATGCCAACACCAAGCCAGGTGAGAGTGTCATTTAGATGAAAAAAGAAAAAAAAAGCCAACTCCCTGATGTCCATAACAATGGAAGTATTTTAAACGTAACATCAAATGTTGAAAGTAAGTGACTGACTTGAGCAACTATCTCTAAGATGATAATGTGTAATCTATTAACTGGTGATTTCTTACTGTTTTTTTTTTTTTTTTTGGTAGTTCTGTATTACTTGTACCCTTACACCACTTTGTTTTGTTTTTTCTCTTTTTCCTTTTAAATAAAATTTAAAAAAAAAGTGACTGAAAATATGCCATGTTAATACTAGCTAAAATGTAGCTGTGGTAGCTGTATTACTCCAGGCAGATTTCAA